TATATATATATATATATACATATATACATATATATTTATTTATATAGTATATTTATATAGTAGTATTTATTTATATAGTATATATGAAGAGTAAGCATATATATATAAATGAAAGTAACAAGCACCAACTTAATTTATTATATATATTTTTGTAACTACTTTTTTTTTGCTTAATGAATCAACAATTCTTATTCTTTAACTTAATTATGTTGTGAATTCTTATTCTTTAAACTTAATTATGCTGTGAATGGGATTGATATTGTGAAGGGGATTTATAATTTGTGATACAATCTAGTTTTTCTTGCCCATGCTACACCATTACTGAATAAAAAATCCAGATCTTATTAATCTAAATATGTGAACACCATAAAAATACACATATTTAGGTTTTCTAACCTTAACAAAGATCAAGAAGTAGGTTTTAAATAAAGTAATAAACCAGTTTTAAAATCAACTTAGCGCCATAGCAGCAATAAGCTTATCAGCAAGGTTTTTATTTTTAACAAAGATTAAAAAAATATTTTCAACCTCATGTTTTGCTGCTTAAATAATGTTATACTTTTCTTAAATAATAAAATTTAAATAAATTAAATAAAAGAAAAACTAACAACACAAAAAAAGGAATTTAAAACTTAATAAATAATCAGTGATAACATAAAAATACTTAGGCTGTTAATATTGAGGGAAAAAAGCAAAAGAATAACAGACAATGTGAAAAAAGTTTTTTTTTCTTAGCTTTTGAAAGAGTTAATAAAAACGACTTTCTTTGGAATGAATTTAAGACCTTACATTATGAAATTTTTTTAAAAAACTATAAATCTTTTATTTTCATTTTATCATATGCATATCAGGTTTGTTTTAAATAAAAAATACTTAATGCAATAGTCTAATGTGAACTTGACGTCATAAAACTCATTAATAATATAATTAATATTATTGCAGTGATATAAAAAGTTTATGTCTTTAAATAACAAAAAAAAATTATTTTTTCAAGACATTAACTTTTTTAAATTACTGCAATAATATTACTTACCGCGAAACGAGTTATTTAATGTTATGAGAATAGCAGGCTTTGGCGTTAATCAAAACCTTTTTACAATGGTTCCTAGCAGTAATAAACAGACGTCTGTTTTCTGGAGAATTGTTTTGCTGATAGATATGGAAGTAATGGTTTTGATTGGCAATTGCAGCAGCACAATGTGAGGAAAACAATGGAGAAGAGTGAGGCTTGACCTGGAATTGTTGAGAGGAAATAAAGGATTCCATGCCAGCCTGAATCCACAAAGTTATGTAAGAAGCACACTTGTCAACAAAAAGACGAGAAATTTCTACCCAAGGGCCATCACGAAGAAAATCACAGAAAGAGTCCCAGTCAGTTTTAAGGTAGTTGTAAGATACTTGATAGTAGAGGGATTCTGATGATAAAGAAGAATGAGATAATAGTTTTAGAGAGACCAAACCATGATCAGAAGCACCTAAGGGTGAGTGTGTAGAAACTGAGCACTGACTAGGATCAGAAACAAGACATAAGTCGATTAGAGAAGGTAAGTGATTCGGGTTGTCTGGAAAGCGAGTTGAAAAGTTGACTATTTGAGTTAGGGATTGAGAAAGGCAAAGGGTGGATTCTTACGAATGTAAATGCCCAGACCAAGCATGTGACTATTAGAGTCTTTATGAATTAAAGGAAGATAACCATCAACACTAAGATCACAAGATGAGACAGCTGAACTCAAATTAGTCTCACAAAGAGCAAGTAGGTCTGGTGAACTTTGCAAGAGATAAGACTCAACAGAAGAAAAGTTACTTCGAAGACCACGAATATTGGTGAATGATAGGTTTAGCGAACTTGGTGATGACTGTGGTTTTTTGTGTTTTATAGTTTTTGTTACTTTATTCATTTTTAAATTTGTTAAAGAACTTGACTTGAAACATAGATAGTACTCAGCAGGGTTGGCAAAAAAACCCAACCTAAAAAAACCCAAAAAAACCCACCTTAAAAAAACCCAATAAAACCCAAAATATATTTGGGTTTTTTTAAAAATGACCTATTCTACAACTGATAACTCTGATTTTAACACTTATAAATGCTTTATTATCAGCAAGTGCAACCTTAATACTGTAATTACTCTTGTAAACACTGTATTTACATACATAATGGTCTTTAGAATATACCCAAAATCGATCAATCTGTTTTTGTAGCAAGTTGGTTATTTATTATTTTTTTAAAACATTTAGCAAGTTATTATAAATGTTATTGAAATATGTATTAAAACATTAAATTAGTTAAACACTTATAAAGGAAAAAAAAACCATTCTATTAACTAAATTTCAAGACATTACTAGTTATTTAGTATCTTTATTCTCCTCTCGAATGTCTATATTCCTTTATATTGGTATTTGATCTTTTATTTTTTTAAAGCTTATGTTGTAAACTGCAAAAAAAAAAAAATACAAAGCCACAAGCAAAATACTATATATAAAAATTATTAAACTTTATTTACAGTTTAGAAATGGAAAGATGTCAGGCAAAAAAAAAAATGCTACAGTTCACTAGATTTGTCCTTAAGCGCATACAACTTTAACTTAAAAAAATTTAAGTTATGTGCAAGCAAGTTTGCAACATGTTTACTCATTCAATGAGAAAACATGTTGAAAACTTGTATGCATTTCACAAGGTTTTTAATATTTTGCATCAGCTACAAGTTTACAACATGTACCACCAACAGGGGTGACTATGAACAGTGGGTTGAAAATTAACATCAGTATCAAGTTGCTAAAAGGTGAAGAAACACACACACAATAGAGCTATATAATGTGTTACTTTGATTCAGTTTGCAATTTGCATTGCAAAACTGAGCCGGTAAAAAAAAAACTTGGTGGCAAAGACACTGTAATGGTTCTTAACAAATTTATTTTAGATATTTTAAGAAACAAAGTTTAGGCAAAAATCCATTTTTTGCCAGTCCAGTTGATCAGACCGATAACTTTTCCAGGAAGCTGGACAGTATAATGTTCTGATTTAAAAAAATGTAGTGTTTAGGCTAGCAGTTTTCTTCTATGATACAAAAATGTTTAAAAAGTGTTCATAGTCATCCTGATTGATAATAACTTATAAGGTTGCAACATCATGTTGCAAACTTGTTGATTACATGTTGTAAACTTGTGCAAAATAGTTTTTGAAATGATATGTTGAACATGTTAGTAAAAAAAACTAGTTTGCAACATTTATATTGTCTTACCAACTTTGAATAACTCAATTGTCATAATTTTTACACTGATTTTTTTTTAGTCAAAAATATTCTGAACATGTTTTTAATTTAGAGCAATTAATTAACATCATTTATAGTTGATGGAGTCCCTTTTTGCACTATAGATAAAATGTGCTAGTAGACTAGTAGTAAAACATTTGGCTCGCAACCAAAAGGTTGGGGTTCAAATTACCTCAATCTATTTCTCCACACAGCGCCTTTGTTTAAAAATTTTAGTTGTTAATGTTGTTTGTTAGTAAAAATGGTAATGTTAAGGATTGAGACAAAATATTTTTAAAAAATGAGTTGCTCCCTTGACTGAAATGGTCATTGGAGCAATAGGGAGGTGAATTTATAAAATTAAAAAAAAAAATTATTGTACTCATACAATTATAAAAAATTTGGTATTTTGATCAATTTTTAAAAAAACCCAAAAAACCCATAAAACCCAAAAAACCCCAATAAAACCCAAAAAAACCCATTTGGGTTGGGTTTTTTTTTAAAAACCCTGGGTTTTTTCCAACCCTGGTACTCAGTACACTGTTTTATAGCCCAAGCAATTGCCTCATTTCCACTAATAAACCCTAAGCCGTAACAAAGGGCTCCAATGTGGCCTTGGCAATGCACACCAAAAGTACAAACAGGGACACCATCCATGCGCAACATGGCACTGTTAGTACTTTGATATTTTTTAGCTGTTGATGGAATCAGCCTCTATGAGAGCTATCACAAAGTTCGGGAAACCTGACTACCAGCTGGCCTCAGAACCATAAAACTGAGTTTTAGAGCTGTACCCTCATTTGGAGATAATAGAATGAGTTACCTAGTCATAAAAACAGAGACAAAGCAAAACCCATGAATTGAGTCAAGAAGATCTAGTGTCAACATCCTAAACTGGAAACAATGTATTAAAATACATCTGCGCCAGCCTAATAGATGAAGAAAGGGGTGCGAGGCTGATCAACAGATAGAATCTGTTTTCTTCTACAAGACAGCAGCCGGATGCATTTAACATCTGCCCAAGATGAGTATTTTTATCAAGACACCATCTCAAAACTAAATTTTAAACTTTTTTTCTATAACTTGCGTTATAAAAAAGAGTTTAACTTACGTTTTGTTACGTTTTATTTAAAATTTAATATTGAGTAGAAAAAAAAAGTTTAGGAAGGAAAACCGAAAAAACAATTGCAATAAAAATTAGTTAATTTTTAAGAACAAATAAAATTTAAATATTGAACAATATTTAGTAATATTTTAAAATAAATTTGACAGTTAAGTTAAACCCAAGCATTAACTTCAATTTTAATAAACTTAAATATATTTTTTTAATCAAAATAACCTTATATATTTTTTAAATCTAAATTAAATTATTATATTTTTTTTTTATCAAAATAAAATTATATATTTTTATAAAATTAGTTTTAAATTAAATCATATATTTTTTATCAGAATTAAATTATATTATTATGATCCTTGCTTCAAGCTTAAAGTATTACCATTTTTAAGCGAAAAAATCAATCAATACAATAAAATAAAAACAAAATAAAAATAAATGCCTGCATATTATTAAAAAGACCGAGCAATTTATCAAATGAAAATGTTGCTTAATTATTTATTAAATACATGTTGCATTTTTTATTTTATTTAATTATTTATTAAATACATGTTAAATATAACATAAGAATATATAACATATATAATATATATAAAAGTATATTACATAAAAATATAACATATATAAAACATAACATAAGAATAAAAAGTACCAAATCATTAGCAGCTAGCATAGAGGAAACAACAGATGCACCATCACTGAAGTCAGGGTGATTTGTATTGATATATGACAGCTCAATTTGAACAAGGTTCTCTACCTTAAAAAATATATACATTAAGTACTTAAAATTTACATGTTGATATAAATTATAAGTTGAGTGCAAGTAAGTCTAATATTAGCTGCTACAAACTTTGAAACTTGGTAGCTTGAAATTACAAAAAAATCAAATTAAGCAAAAACTTTAAAATTTGTAATTAAAAACTATCAAATTATTAATTATTAAGTAAAAAAAAAAAACAATTAAAAGTACATTTCAGGTACTTTGAAAATCTGTAAAATGCAAAAACATTGAAAACACTTATTACAGTAAACTATTAGTAGAAATTATTTAATTTAAAATCTAATTTTATTCTTATGGTGTAAAATTATTCCTTTAAAACTTAAAATAAACTTTGATTAAAGTAAAAAGGATTGTATAAACTAAATATAAGCATAAATTTTATATAAAGAAAAATTAAAAGTTGTAACAACAAAAAGGTATTTTAAACCTTATTAAAATGCCAGTGTTAATAGAATAAATTTCACAGAGATGTTTATTATCCAGCACTAAATGACATGTTTATACAAAACCTTATCACTTTATATTTGTGTTAATTTACAACTTACTTTTATCATGTAGATATCAATATTTAACTTTTTTAACAAAAAAGCACTTTAACAAAAGTTAAACATAAAAAAACTATTTTTTAATTAGCCCTTATTAATTTTTATCCTTTAATATTAATCATAACCTTTATACCAACTTAAAATAAAAAATTTCTTAAAGCAATTTTTGTATAATGAGCTTTAACTCTATCTACTCAAAAAATATGAATACCTGAAAATATTCATTATCGTAACAATCCAACATGTTGCCGTTAACAGAACCCTCTGTTTTGTATATTTTATCTAGAAGCGCTCTTTCCTGAGAACACTTCTTTGTTTTGGAAAAATTTTTCAGCTTGATATTTAAGTATAATATAAAAGTTTTAAAATCATGCTGGATAAGTTTTAAAAGCTTGTTGAATCATCATATATATATATTCAATACTAATATTTATTTATAATAACAACTTTGTTTTTCTCACTTTCAAATTTTTGTTTGTTGTTATTGTTTTTTTCACTTACTCTAAGCAAAGAAAACATAGTAAAGCTATTCAGATAAACTCAAACACAACTATATGACTGAAGTTATGCTTTTTATTGTTGTTGTTGATAACAAGTTATCTTTGCACAATGCTAAAACCTGGAATATACCAACAGTTTACACACATAATTAGCTTTTTTTTTTTTTTTAACATTAATAATGTTTCTATTTTTTTTTAATAAATTGTTATTTTTTATTAAATGAATAGATAAAATATATATTGCAGAAAAAAAATGCAATACAACTTGTTAAAGCAGGCAACTCAGTACACAATGTATCAAAGTCTTCTGGAATTCCATATGGAACGTTATACAGAAGAAATTGTAAAGGATTTAGAAAAGCCTTTTTTACTGCTGTGTGACAAACATAAAAGCCATATAACATTTTACTATTAAAAAGGCTAACTATATAATTTTACTTTGTTTACCTCTAAACACAAGTCACGCGTTACAACCTCTTAATGTTATTTTTTTATTCCGTTGAAATGTTATTGGAAGATATTTATATATTGGTTATGAAAAAGCAGGCAAAAAATGTTCTGTCTGTATTTGTAACATTGCTAAACTTTCTGGTAAGTGATATAGATGGCTAACTTCTGAAAAGTGGTTTCAATGGTAGTGGTCTTTACCCTGTTGATAAATCAAATTCTTTGGGGAAAATAGTGAATATCCAACCGAACCGCCATTGACTGGATAAATTTAACAAAAAAGAAAATCATTTTAAAAATCTACATATCCATACTACCCCACAAAAAAGAAAATCATTTTAAAAATCTACATATCCATACTACCCCACCAGTGGGGATATATGGATATATTAGAGGTGTTGTTGTAAAAGGAGTAAGTTAGTTATCAAAAAAAAAAATTTTCTCTTCAGTGTGAAGTTATTGTGCAAAATTTGAATGTAAAGAAAAAAAAAGGATTTTTTTTATTGTGTTTATTAAATAAAAAATTATTATGTATAAAAAAAATGTGTCAATTTCTATCCATACGTAATGACTATAAGGTTTGGCTACGAAATGACCATAAGGTTTGGCTACTTTAATTTCACATTCCAAAAAGTTGGATGACTAACTGCATAGTCTGTGCTTTGCAATAAGTTGTAAATTTTTTAGCGTGCTATTTACTAAGAATTATTTTAGCTTGATATTTATTTAAGAATAAAATAATTTACTTGAAATAAAACAATGAAAACATGCTTTAAAAGCTTGTTGGATCATCATATTTATATTCAATTGTTTTATTTATAATAATAATTTTGTAGTATTTGTAAATTTTTGTAATATTATAAATTTGTAATAATTTATAATAATAATTTTTATATATTTTTTTCTCACTTTCATGATTTATTCAATAACCATGTGCCTAGTACATGGTAATTAAAAAAATAGTAAAAGATGGATTACTGACCAGATAGTTAAATTTTTTTTTAGTTTCTATCAAAAAAAATCAACTTTATTGTCATAAAATGGTATACAATTTAAAAAAATTATATTCCTTGTTGAAATTACTTAAAAAAGATAACTTGTTTAATTTTTTAAGATAATTAATTTAGCATTGGAATTAATTTTTATAAGCATTAATTTTAAAATTACTGAACTATCATTCTTTAAGCATCTCATTATAATTATTGAAATAAAAAAAACTTTTCGCTATAACTTTGCATCTAATAATTAAAATAATGAAACTTTGCTACTTATGATAGCACTTTAAAAAATTGTTGACTTTTAAAGGCAATTTTATCAATTCAATATTAAATAGTTTTTATTTAGTTTTGAAGAACATCTTTGAACTGTTATAACTATTTAAGAGTTTTTAGAAACTTCCAAAATTATGTTACAAAATAGTTAAAATTTTTTAACTATTTTGAACATTCTTTAACTTTCAAATAGTAGTCACTGTCAGTAGTACAACTGTCAAATAGTAGTCACTGTCAGTAGTACAACTGTCAAATAGTAGTCACTCTCAATCATAAATTTAAAGTTATTGTTGAATGCAGTAGTTTTTCAATAGACTTAAGACATAAGTAATTAAATTATAATACTTGAAGATAAGTTGGAAAACAGAAACAAAACAAAAAAAACCTTGAAAGATAGAAATAAAAATTTAGGATTTAAAATAAATAACCATAAATTAATTGCGTTAAATACAATAGAATATATATATAAAGTAAATATAAACGAAAATAATTATAGTTAATATTATTAATATTAAATAAAAAAAGATGTCTACAGTTAGAAGTTAACTATTGAAGTTAAACCATTTACCAACAAAAAATTACTATTACCATTTTATATATTGATAGTTATCATTTCAACTGTTAGAATTCTTACCATAGTTTTTGTTGGAGCCAGTCTACTTTGTAGAAGAGCAGTTACAACTTCATTTATTCTGTCTTTTAGCTGAGGAAATTTTTGTATCTCTAAAACCTAGAACAAAAAATAAATTCATTAAATCTTTATTAGCAAAACGTTAAACAAAATTTAAAACATTAAACGAACAAGAAAAACTTACAGAAAGAAAAACAGATAAGTGTTCTTAATAACTTTTATATATATATATATATATACATATATATATATATATATATATATATATATATATATATATATATATATATATATATATATACATATACATATACATATACATATACATATACATATACATATACATATACATATATATATATATATATATAAATATATATATATATACATATATATATACAAATAGTATTGCGTACTAAGGTAAGCAATCTGACTTCATACTGAAATAGCCTGCTGCTGGGGGCTTCAGTACATACATCAATTGACAAATAGCCTGACTCGCAATGGAGTGTTGCTACATCGGCTGAGGGTTTAGAATGGGGAAGCAATCATTTCATTCATCATTCTTCGTTTTTTTCTTCTTTTTCTAAAAAAGCCCTAAGGGTTAAGGTAAGCAAAAAAAGTGAGCAAATGCTTACAAAGATACGTTTTAGTAAGTGTATATATATATACATATTTATATATATAAATACATATAAGTATATTTATTTATATACATATATGTATACTTATTTATACATATATGCATATTTATTTATATACATATATAACATATATAACACATATATATATATATATATATATATATATATATATATATATATATATATATATATATATATATTATATATATATATATATATATATATATATATATATATATATATATTGAATAAATACTATATAAAATAATTATAAAAATAATAAAATATAAATATAATAAAAAGCTTTGAGTAAATACTCAAATAAAATAATTTTAAATAAAACATGTAAAAAAAGCCATTTTTCATAAAAGTTGCAAAATGAACCAAAAAGTTTTGTTGCAATTTATAACAAATAAACTTTATGGCAAGTGCTTTTTTATGTGCTTGCTAAAGTTTTTGCAGGCATGTGGGCGAGAAAAGACTTAAGCGCAAAAGCGCTGGCAATATATATATATATATATATATATATATATATATATATATATATATATATATATATATATATATATATATATATATATATATATATATATATATATATATATATATATATATATATATATATATATATATATATATATATATATATATATATATATATATATATATATATATATATATATATATATATATATATATATATATATATATATATATATATATATAGCCAATATTTTGCTGACTTAAATCTGTTAGAAGTCAGCATCAGGTAGGCAAAAATTTTGATACAATGTTTTTACCATAAATATATCCAGACCATATTTTAAAAATCCAGAAAATTATTTTAGTAAAATATACAGAAAAAATCCGAAGTATATTTTCCTCTAAATTTTGCTTTTAGCTGAAATGTTTCTAATTTTTTTTCAAACTTTTCTTAGTTTTGTATGAGTGATGAGTGAAAAAGGTTAAAAAAGAAGTATATTACAAAAATATATACCTTAACTTGTGTGTATGGAAAACGTTTTGGATATCTGGAAAAACTAAAAGTTGAGAAAAATATCCGGAATTTCGGAAATATCCGGAAAAAGATAATCCCTGCATAAAACATAGAAATGAGGTAGCAATATTTTGTCTACCTCTTCTAGGTCTTCACTTCTAGGTCAGCATTTAGGCTGACCCTTATTCTGAGTACTGTAAATATGTAAATACATATATTTTTAAATAAAAAATTGGTTTAGAAAAGGGTCAGTTATTAACCCATGTTTGCTCATAAAATCCAATGAAAATATCAGCTAAGATGGGCGCTAAAGAAGAACCCATTTCACTATTTGTTTGTTCATAATTTTTTCTGCCAAATAGAAAATGGAAAGCAAATGTTAAAATTTGAAGTAGTTTCTTAAACTCAGTATGTTAAAGTTGTTTTAAGCAAGTTTTATCTTTAAAGAATAAATCAGTTTCTATGTTGATGGTTTCCTAAAGTACTATGTTTGTAAATAAACTTTCAACATTATATGATACAGAATATCGCCAAGTAACTGAAATATAAAATTTTGCAATTGACTTAGGAATCTGTTATACTTCAATGCTTTTGCAATATCTCAAAGTAAGTGAATTGTTAGACTCTGCAAGTATTTTGGACTTTCAATTTGCTTTTATTTACAAAAACTTGATTAATTGCAGGGGATATAAATCTATATATATTGATTTAAATGTATATAGCTACAAATACATTTATAAGTCTTTATAAATACATAAAAAAAAACATCAACAAAAGTTTTAGCTAAAAAAAAGTTAAGAAGGCTACTCAATTTATATATCTATATTCTTAATTATTGTTACAACTCTTAACTCTTTAACTCTGAAATACATGCCTTGATAAACAAGAAGCCTTAACAAATAAAAAGCCCTAACAAACAAAAAGCATTGACAAACAAGAAAACTTGACTAGCAAGATCGCTGTGCAGTGAAACAAGTTAAGCACATTAACATGGTAGGCATTGATTTCAGAACATCTTAATCATATAGTGAGCCCTTACCGCTACACCACTACCTAATTTAATGCCATATATTTATATAATGCATTTTATAATATTGTCTATATAATATGTTCTATATTTTATATAATGTGCTCATTATATAAAATATAGAATATATCATAAATTCTATATAAAATAACTTATAAAACTACATACTCCCATTTAAATGACAAAAAAGTTTTCATTTAATTTAAATGTAAAACCTACCTGTGACATGCTATGTTGTATAATTCTTTGCATTTCTTCATGTACTAATTCTACACATCTTAAACTTGGCTCTTCAAGTTTTTGGATTTGTCTTTTAACAAGAAGTTCAAAAGAAATTTCTGGTACAAATAAAGCTGGACGTGGACCCTAGTAAAAAAGTTTTTAACACTTAGATTCTATTTTCTTATTGTTCAGTTTTTTGTCGTTGTTACTGTTGTTTTTGTTGTTGTAACATACTATTGAGTCATAGTTACTTGTTGTAACAACCAAGTCATAGTTGATTTGTAACTTCTAAAAAACAATACCAACATTAAACAATGAAAAAATTTTCACCGTGGCATTTCTTATGGCTGTCAATATGTCTTTTGTAGTGAGGCCAGTTAAAGGGTCAAATTTTAAGATAGTCTTGCCAAATGTATCATGAAAAATGTAGCATATTCGGGCTCCACCACATCTGTAAAACATTGTAAATTTAAAAAAATACTAAATATTGTTGTAGTATAAAATAACTTATATTATGAAGTCGACAAACCATTTTTAAACCATTTGTATAGTCGAAATACAATCACAAGCATTACAAAAAAAAATTAGCGACTGTTAAGCAAAAAAAATTAACCATTGCATTTTGTCAAAAATGTCAAAGAAAAAACTCAAATTATTAATTGACAAAAGTCAATCAAAAACTCAAACTTTGTCTTTTTTAATCTATTTTTTTTTTATATACAAAAAAAATATACTTTTGCAAGAGCCACAAATTTTTCCCGAAAACCACTTTAGGGGAGTGTGGGTGAGAGAGACAGAGCTAAAGCTCTTGTTTCCTGCTGAGGCCTGTGTGTGTATATATATATATATATATATATATATATATATATATATATATATATATATATATATATATATATATATATATATATATATATATATATATATATATATATATATATATATATATATATATATATATATATATATATATATATATATATATATATAATAAACAATAAACAATTTCAAGAGATAAAAAAAAAATTTTAAGTGATTATTTTAATCTGATTTAAAATCATTTAAGAAATTAGAAAAAGTATTTAAACTATATATATTTACATCCCTTCGCTTAAATCAAAACTTTCACCTTGCTTGGTGCTTGAATTATTAGACCTGACTCATGAATATGCACTGATGATGAAAATATAAATTTAACCCCAAACAGGGTTGGCAAAAACCCGGGTTTTTTTAAAAAAACCCGGCCCAGTGGGTTTTTTTGGGTTTTATTGGGTTTTATTGGGTAAATTTGGGTTTTTTTGGATTTAATTTTTATTTTGTCTCTGTAAAAAAATTTTTTGTGTTTTTGTTTAATGATATTGAAAATTAGTTTTTTTCTACTTTAACTTTATTTAAAATATATTTAATATATTGTTTTTTAATTATTTATAACAAGAATTTTTCAAATTATTTTAAAAAAAAAAGATTTTTAAATATTATTTAAAACTGTAATAGAAAAAAAAAATTTCACGCTTAATCTATATGTATTGATTTATTTTAAATTTAAAAGTATTATTCTATATAATTAAAAATGTTAATGAGAAAATGTGAAAAAGAAGGCTTGAGAATGGGAGGTAGTAACTGAAGTTTCAATTAAACTTTGAACTTGAAATTCAAATGAACAAACTTGTTCCTCTGCGCAGCGGCCTTGTTTATAAAGATTCGTGTTTAGGAGTTAAAGAGTTTTTTTTCTTCTTTAAATCAATTCACCTCCTCAAAGCTTATGGTCACTACAGGCGAGGAGGCTACTTATTTGTGGTTATAACCCTCTCTCAACTCTATAACTCAGAAACACGAACCTTGACGAAAAAGGCCGCTGCGCGGAGAAAGGAGTTGAGCGCGGTACTGCCAGGGACGTGGTGGGGATCGAACTCGGAACCTCTCACTTATGAAGTGAGCACTCTACCACAACACCACTACCGCAAAAGAATTGAGAGAGGGTTGTAACCACAACAAGGTAGCCTCCTCCACTGTTGTGTTAGCTTCTCTGGTCACTACTACTCATTTAAATTCAACTTGGGAGGTGAACAACATAAAATAATAAAAATCTCAATCGATAAAAATATTTGAATAAAAATTGTAATAATGTATTTCCAAATAATGATTCAAATAATAGTAAACCTGCTCTGTTAGCTGTTATTGTTGGTTATAATAGTTAATAATAATAGTTAATAATAATTAAGTTAATAAAAATAGTTAATAATTATTTTAGTAAATAATATTATAGTTATAATGTTAAAGTTGGTTATAATAGTTCATAAACTTATTAAATATCTTTAAAAAAAACCAATAAAACCCAGATTTTCCAGGGTTTTATTGGGTTTTTTTAGGCGGGTTTTTTTGGGTTTTATTGGGCGGGTTTTTTTGGGCGGGTTTTTTAATGCCAACCCTGACCCCAAATAATCAAAAAATAAAAATACTTACATTTCTGATGTGGTGATATTTTTAGATGTTCCTTCTATAGTTTCACAATAAGTTGATGCAAAAAGTGTAATTAAACGAAGTAATGTCGATCTCTATAGTAACATAATGTTGCAATTTAAAATAAAACATTTTATAGTTTTATATTAACATATTTGTATTTGGAATATTCAAATTAAAAAAATAAATTGTTGAACAATCAAGCATAGTGAAAAGTTGATGTTTAATGAAACAAATTGGATATACATATATAGATTAACAGTTTTTAATACTACAAAAAAGTATTTAATTATAGATTAATAAAGCAAAGTGGATTGCTGTTGTCTAATGAAGAAAAGTAGATGTCCATATTTATGGTAATGAAAAATATTTATTTCCATAAATATAACAAGTATACATTTTAACACACTTTTTATTCTAAAAATAACCTTATCAACAACTGGTTCTCCACAAGAATTCAACAATTGCTGGTAATGAGAAATCATAACATTGATACGTGATTTTAGGTCAGGTAAACAATGCTGAATGTGACGAAGCAAAAGCTAAAATCAATATAAAATACATCAGAATATTTTTATTTTTCAAATTTGTATAATTTACCTTTTTTTTAATTACCTTGTTTAGAGTTTTTGTAAGATATTTTGTTCCGTTTCGATTAGCTAGCATAGGATATCGCTTTTGAAAAAAAAATTCCTCAAACTCCAAAGCACTTTGAATAGTCTGATAAAAGCAAAAATTAAAATTAATAAGTAAAAATAAAAATAAATTTAGATTATTTTTATTACTTATATTACTATTAATATTAACTTTTTGTTATTTTTTACGTCAAAATTAATGTACCTTTTTGTTGTTTATATCTAACTGACTCCTGTTTACAATACCAATTATTCCAAGTTTGACTGGAATCACTTAGTAAAAAAAAAAACAATTATTCTGAGTTAGTCTAGAATCACTAAGAAAAAAAAAAATTACTCCAACTTTGACTGGAATCACTAAGTAAATAAAAATCATTAGGTAAATTTAAAAAAAAAATTATTCAAAGTTTGACTAGAGTCACTAAGTAAATAAAAATAACGATTATTCAAAGTTTGACTGAAATCACTAACTTTCCAATCTTGACAGGAATCACTAAATAAAAAAGATTTCTTCAAATTGGAAAAACTCCATTTTTGAATGAAGTCAATAAGTAAAAAACAAACTATTATTTCAAGGTTAACTGGAATCACATAGTATAAAGTTAATAATATAAAATAAGTTGATAATGTTAAGATTTGCCATATATGGACACTGCTGCAATATTATCATACTCGCATAAACAGCCATTTTAAAACTGCTGAGAATGTGTTAAAATTATGGTCACCTTCAAGTGTGTGAAAAAAAAATTGTAATTCTAATTATAATTTTGCTACAAAAATGAAACTAAAGCTAAAACATAGATTTGTCAGACTTTCAAATTTGCTTTGTAGAAAAGTTTTTTTGAACGAAAAGAATTTGCATTAAAGGGATCCCAAACTCCCGACACATGTTGTGTTCATATTAAAGATAATGTTAAAAAAAAAGGTTTGAACCAAGTTTTTTTGATTAAAAATAAATAATGAATGCATACCGTGAAAAACAAATGTTGTTGTTTTGCTGAAGCTCCAATTCTCCATTTTTTTCAATAAATCGGAATCTTCAAATTATGCGTCGCAATCTACAGACTTTGGCAATTCCTTTGAAGCGCGTTTAATTCATAAAAGTTTTAGTATTTGACGTCACGGTAGACTTTTAACAAAAGGAAAGTGTAATTAAACTAAGCTGCATTTTTCTACTGTAGTATTTTTTTAATATACAGCAAAACAAATTTATTTGTATTATTTTTCTAAACATTGCAAAAAAAAAATTTGTAAAAAGAAAAAATGATAAATTATTTTTATTTTATAGGAGCAACTTGTTTTTTACAGATATCTTAATAATTTTTTGATTTATATGTCTTACTTATATTTCTTTTGTTTTTAAATTAAAACAAATATTAAAGCTTTACTTACGAATCTTATGATTTTCATATGAGTGTTTAACATTATATAGAACGTTATGTATACGGTCTCTCGTTTTTGTGCAAGAGTGCACAGTATTATATATTCTGAATCTTACTTATTTTTATTTAAACAATCGGAACTTTTTTCTAACTTCTCTGGTTATTTTTACGCTATGATATTTTTTGTTTTCCTGTCGAAAAAAAGTATTAACAATTAATTTCATAAACTGACAGTATTAATTAGAGATATATGTTGAATTGTAAACTTTTTTTATTATAAAATTTTTTTGATTACGCTGATTCATTTTAAATTGCTAAATTTGCTAAATTGGATACGGATAAAAAAGGAAATATCATTTTATTTTACATTTGATTTTTGATAATGAAACTTTTAAAACTCTATACCAATTAGAACCTGTCAAGGTTATGAAAAAAAAATACAAGAATACATTAAACAATACAGTTGACAGTAGTATCAGATATGCAAATTCGTGAAAGGATTTGTGAGATCTTGGTTTTGCATTAAAAGTACGATTAATAACAACACAAATCGGCATTATAAATTTTGAGTATTAGTTTACTGTTCAATATTTTATAACCATCAAATAAAAGCATGAAGTTTGTATATTTTCGCCCGTTTTATACAACTAATATTTAACAAAAATACGGACAAATTATTTTTATATAACGCAATAATTAACACATTAATTAATGGCAATAATTCAAGATAAATGGTAATTTAAATTGTCAAAATGTCATAACGCGCATTGAAAAACATATTATATTAGGTATTTCCCAATTTGTATCATATTTGGCATTTGTCTCTTAACTCATGTTAAGAGTTAAATGTTAAATTTTCATGTTAAATTTTAAAACACAACAAATACATATTTTCTCTTCCAATTTTCATTTATTCAAAGAAAAGTTACTATTAAACTTTTATTTCTCTCATCTAAAAAAAGAACGAGTGACGCAAAAAAAAAAAAAAAAAAAATCTATACAACTCTTTTTTTCATTCAAAGTTTAATTACGCGAAACTTTTCTTTCTCTTTTATTCTACTCTTTTATAAAAAGAGCAAGCGATGAAATAAAAACTTTTCTTTCTTAACATAAATTTATACTTAGAGATAAAATTAAATTAGAAATAAAGCAACAATGAACAAAGCAACTAACAGATTAATCTGGGACTATTTTGATATTAATGAAAATAATCAACATAAACAACATTACCAACAGCAATTATCAAATAAACAACACAATATCGCATAATTTTAGGGGCTTTTATTTTTATTGTTTAGTCGTTCTAAATAATAAGTAAATTTAGTTCAAGTTAATATTCCAATATTTACAGTTGCAATATAATAAAGAAATGATGTTTTAATGTTGAAATTTTTATTTAATTATTTAATTTTTTCCTACCTATGTTATAAAAACATTTAAACCCCCGTCATTAAAATAACTTGTTTTAAATATATTTCAAAATGATTATTCAAACTAATTTTTTTCGCTTGACTTCCCAAACTTCATGCAAAGCAAATTGAGACGAAATATTATCTAACCAAATAAAAATGCTTTTACTAATTTTTTACGGGTAATTAATGTAAAGCATTTTTTTATCAGAGTCTTGATTGAGATAATAAATATTCATAACTTATAAACATTAAATATATAGCGCAATAACAATTTATAGCAACGAACCAGCATAAAATATTTAAGGTTTTTGATATCTTTTTAAATATTACAAGTAGGAAAAAAAAAACTAAACAAATAACCAAAAAAACTTCGACTAAAAATAAATAAAAATATTTCCAGAGTTTCTTTTGCTAAAAGTCTACCGTGACGTCAAATACTAAAACTTTTATGAATTAAACGCGCTTCAAAGGAATTGCCAAAGTCTGTAGATTGCGACGCATAATTTGAAGACTCCGATTTATTGAAAAAAATGGAGAAGGCGAGCTTCGGCAAAAACAACAACATTTGTTTTTCACGGTATGCATTCATTATTTATTTTTGATCAAAAAAATTTGGTTCAAACCTTTTTTTTTTTACATTATCTTTAATATGAACACAACATGTGTCGGGAGTTTGGGATCACTTTAAACAAAAATAAGGAAAAACTCTAAAACAAATAAATCTTAATTAATCTAAAATAAATTTTAGAAAACAATAATAATATTTTATTAATAAAAACTTTTTTCTGAAACCGATAAATAATATTGAATATTTTTCTGAAACCAATAATTATTTTAAACTTTTTTTTGGAAACAATAATAATGTATTTTTTTCTGAAAACAATAATAATGAATTTTTTTCTGAAAACAATATTAATATAATACTTTCACACCTTTTGTATATAAAAAAACACACCTTTTCCATATAAAATATCTTTTGCATCTGTCCCGTGATCCATAAGGTCTAACTTTGTTATGACAGCCAGTGTGCGGTTTCCTAAATAATAAAAACAATTTTGTTATCATAAAAATTTATGTACAATAATAATATATAGTTAGCTTGAAAATAAATTTATAACATAATCTTATAAGTTATACAACTGACCTTCAGGGTCTACCTCTCTTGCAATTTTAATAGCTTCGGATGTAGCAAGGTCTGTATTGGCTGCAGTTACAGCTAGAATTAATGCATTTGAGTTTGCAGCATATTTCATTATAAGAGAACGAATTTGAGCTTCAACATCCAAAGGCTGATCTCCAACAGCTATCTGATGGAAAACAACAATAAATTATTTACTGGATATCATCTTTCTAAAATTAGATAAATTTGTAATAAAAACCGACACAGAACACAAGAATAATACAAATATTTCTAATACCTGATAGGTATAATAAAATTTTGTGCATGCATTTAATTTTTTTAAACTGTTATTTTCTTTAATACAATTATATATATATATATATATATATATATATATATATATATATATATATACTGCCGTCCTAAGAAAAAACGCAGTAATCGCAAAAATTGAAAAATCGAGATTATTGCACCAAACGTTTTAACATCGTTTTCTGTGTAATAACGCTCTATATAAAAATATTGTGGTATATTCCGAAGTCATCAAACCCATAGTTCATTTTGCCGTAAGTTAAAAAAATATATACACACAAAATTTAAAAGTGGCTTTTTCTCAGAATGTCATTTTTGTTGTTTACTGCGTTTTTACTTAGGGCGGCAGTATATATATATATATATATATATATATATATATATATATATATATATATATATATATATATATATATATATATATATATATATATATATATATATATATATATATATATATATATATATATATATATATATATATATATATATATATATACAGGCTTGGTCGGGAAGCGGGAGCGATCGCTCTCGAACACTGACCACGGAAATTATATTTAGTTGCGTAAAACTGGCCAGGTTTTTTAGTCGTTTTGAGAACATTTAAGTTTATGTACGAAACAAAATTTTTTTGTTTTACGGACATACATGGAAACATAAAAAACTTGAATGTTTTCAAAACATCTTTGTGCGAAAGAATAAAAAGAATATTTGCGAACACTAAAAACCCGCCAAATTAACGAACAAACTAATTCTATTGGTTCAAAAAATACGCTGTTTAAGCGAAATAAAGTTCTAGAGTATTCTGTTAAAATGTTTTAAAAAATTGTATTATACACGATTTGTTACCTTTTGAGATTTCTAGCATTGTTTTAAGAATATATATTATTTGTTTACGAAAATAAATGTTTTAAATATATATTGAATAAATTGTTAAAATTTTAAAAGTTTATTAAAAATCATAGATTTTATTAGTATATTCTTATTTTTTATTTTAAAAGAGATTGTTATCTTTATGTAAATGTAATCTTGTGTATTTTTTTTTTATCGTAATGTATCTTTTAAAGCAATTTTTATGATTTAAACAAAGACTTAAAAAAATAATTGCGTTTTCAATGAAGTTATAATCGTTAAAGTTAATAAAACTACTTATGTAACAAACATATAAGTAGTTTCTGGTTACTAAACACAAAAAACGCATACGAAGTAACTCGCGGATGAACAAGCATCGCGCCTGAGGTCACGACAGTACACAAATATATATAGCAAATAATTAGATATAAAGAGAAGATTCTAGATATTGGTTTACTTACTCTAATTATTTTCGCTTAAGTTGCCATTCTTAAAACTCGTTATACTTTTTTCTGCTTTAAATACTAATTAAAATTAAATAGCCCACTCACTAAACATCTTCAGCGATATTTCGAAGCAGTTTCGCTTCCTGGTCATTAAGTATTTTTAACCTTTTTAGTTGATTTCTATCTTGATTATTTAATTCCTATAGTAAATCAATGATTTAATTATTTCATTTGTTTATCTTACTAAGAAGAATCGTTTCAAATATGTTAAACTTTTCAAACTACGCGAAACATAAAATAGGTATTAAAAAAATTAACTTTTTTATTTATAAAATAATTTATCTTAAGTAAAACTAAAACTTGCAAACTTAGTTAAATAAAGAATATTTATTTCTCTTTTAAACAATCGTAAGTTGTTACTTTATATAAAAAACATCGCTTAATTTTTTTTTTTTTTTGTAATTGTCTCTCATCGGTCCAATTAATCTTCGTCGCTTTTTTTTTTTTTGCTTTTTAAAATGTTCTCAAAACGACTAAAAATCTGGCCAGCTTTTCGCAACTAAATATTATTTACGTGGTCAGCAATCGAGAGCGATCGCTCCCGCTTCCCGACCAAGCCTGTATATATATATATATATATATATATATATATATATATATATATATATATATATATATATATATATATATATATATATATATATATATATATATATATATATATATATATATATATATATATATATATATATATATATGTATATATATATATATATATATATATATATATATATATATATATATATATATATATATATATATATATATATATATATATATATGTATATATATATATATATATATATATATATATATATATATATATATATAATCATTTAAATATTTAAATGATATAAAAAATCTGATGCGAAGGGTTGTTGAAAATACACTGAAAAGATGCGTATCATTCAAAAACATAAAACAAAAAGATTTTTTATATTCAAATAAAAAAGAATAAATAGTTACAAAGCAAATATACGACCAGCAGTATTTATAAAAAAAACAATTAAAGAAGGTATTTATAATTAATAATAATAATTAAAGTATTTATAAGAAAAATAATTAAACTAAATGGTTAATGGTGAGATTCGTCAATTTTGTGGCTGAAAATAACAACCACTCTAAAGAAACAAAAATAAAAAACAGTACACAAATTATTTAAATTATTAATTTTTTTTTTAATTTTTATTTAAATAGAATAAATATTATCTAATTTCCTATTTTGTAAGTTTTGCTTTCTTTTGTTCTGAAACTTAGTTTTTCTTAGTTTTTTAATTTTATATTTAATATTAAAAAAATAAAATAAAATAAGCATTTCCTTATGGTAATAATAAAAAAGAAGTTAAATAATATTTAACTCGTTTTGCGGTAATTAATATTATTGCAGTGATTTAAAAAAGAAAATCTCTTTAAAAAATTAAAAAATAAAGAGAATTTTATGACATCAAATTCACATTACGCTATTGTATTATACTTTTTATTTAAAACAAGACCTGAGATATTATATACATAACATATGTAAAGATATTATATACTATAACAAACAAAAGGGAGAGAATTTTTAAAAAAGCCTAAAATTTCTAAAAACATCAAAAGAACAAAACTTGTTTCAGATGTCATGATAGAGATACTTACATTATTAATGTGCTCAGCTTATTAAAATTTATAATTAATAATTTTCTAATAATTACAAATCTTATGTTTTGAATTTTTGTATTTATGTTATTGTATTTAAAAAAATTGCTAGATTTAAAAAACACAAAACATAATGTTTTATCTAAATGGAAAGTTTGAAACTTTGTTTTTAGATTTACAATTACTCTCTCCTCTCTTGATAATTTGTGTTAGCTAAAATTATCTTGTGCGCTTGATAAAATTATGTCATCACCATTATGTACAAACATCCATGAGTCTTTAGCATGAGTTGAGTTTGCCATGCATATATTGAATGACCGTGTATAATACAGGCCGCGGGAAGCGAGAGCTTCAGCTCTCACTCTCGACCACACTTATCTAAAACGGTTTACAGGAGCAATTAACAGCTCTCACAAAAGTATAATTTTTCTTACGAAAGTATAATTATCATTGTTACTAAAATAAAAAACACAATGTCATTTTAAAAAAATTAATTGTATAATATACTGCAATGCTTTTTAAAAAGCACGGTTGTTGCAAAAAAAAAAAATTTAAATTTAAAAAGAGCGCCAATTTAAATGAGGAGCAGCTCGCACAGCTCCCCAAGTTCGTTTTAGGAGAGCTTATCTCCGCTCTCGTGCTCATTTATTCCTGCTGAGGCCTGATAATATATGTATAATATGAGAAAACTTTCAAATTTTACTTTAACAATCAGAAGTTTTTTTTACTATAAAAATACACAGTAAAAATGAAAAAAATTCAAAATTTATTACACTTAAGGTAGGACTTGAACCTCCCGTAACAACACTGATGGCAAGTCACTAAATCACTGAGTTATTGAAGATTTGCGTTTCTGAGAAAAACAAACCATTTTATAAATCTCTTATGAGCTCTACATATGATAATTTTTTGCTCTGAAGAAATTTTTCAGAATTAATAATTTTACTAAAAAATATTAAAGCAAATAAGGAATAAGAATAAAAATACTTGGTGCGGATAAGTATAGTAATGATTAGTTTATTAAAGACCTGTATTTTACGGGTCTGAACAGCTAGAATATATACATAAAGAAAAAGTATAAAAAAGGTCAGTGTGGAATAGACTTATAAAGACCCATATTTTTACAAGTCCGATCAGCTGGTTAAAGCAACCCCCAACCTCGGAAACCTCTGTGTTATGTTCATATTAAAGAAAATGATAAAAAAAAAATGTTTGGGCTAAATTTTTTTGATTAAAACAAAAGAATAAATGCATATCAATGCAAACAAACAAAAAAGTCAATGACGCCATCTACTAAAACTCTTAGGAATAAAATGCACTTAAATAAATTATCAATTGGGATCCCTTTAAGGTTTTAAAATGAAAAAAAAAACTTTTATTTTATTTTTAGTTTCTTTTATTTTAATTTTTTTAAGTTTATACATTTTTTAATTAGCAAATAAATTTAATGAACAAAATTGAGAAAAACTCATTATTTTGTACCAATGGATAACAGTTTACAATAATTGCATATTAATTATTATTAATTTACACACACTTTAAAAATAAAATTGTTTTAAATTGTGAAAAATTGTTTTGATAAAAATAAAAATTTATTAAATGCAATAAGCATCTTTGATATATCTAACAACTTATTAACTAGAATAAAGATTATTTGAAAATAAAACTCCATTGTTCAAATATTAATTAGCCAATTTCATGTGTGCTTTTGGATTTTTTATAGACATACAAGTTATATTACCAGATATCTTTCATATGGATTTGATTAAAATTATAAAGCATTTGAATTTTAATCTTTTAGCTTTGTCCAGATACTTTTGCATGTGTAATAAAATTTTGCACACACGTAATTAAAAAAAAATTACCTTTTAAGATTAGATTGCTTAGATATAGTAAAAAATAATTTTTTTTATTATGAAATCTACTCTTTTTTATTTTTACTCTTTGAAAGTAGATTAGAAAGTAATTGCTTTAGCTTGATGTGAATTTGACGTCATAAAATTCTTTATTTTTATATGGACATTAACTTTTCTAAACTACCACAATATAATAAATTACCATAAAATGAGTTCAATTAAAAAAATAAATTTTTATATCAATATATTATGGAATGTTTTCTTAATATTAAATAACTAAATTAAACAGTATAGTTTTTAATTAATCAAATAGTAGTTTTTTAATATTTAATATAAACTCATTTCATTCTTTGGGGGCATCCATAAAGTATGTATGCAGAAAAACACTTTTTTTTTATTTTAGGACCCCCTCCCTAATTGTACGCACCTGATAGGTTTCAGCATCATCTCTCCTTTGCATACGTACACATTATTCATAACAAAATCATCCCCCCCCCCCCTCTTTTTCCCCTCCTTCCTCTCTTTCCCAACCTAACATTTTTCAAAACATAAAAAAAAACTTTTTGTTAATTTGACATATCTCTGTTACATAACATAATTTTGATTTTTTTAACTCATGAAATTCAATGTTTTTTTAGGAGAGATAGAAAACGCGAGATTGTCAAACTGTGTACATACTTGCAGCCTTTAATACCCCCCTTCCTTGTACATATATCTGTATACGTACTTTACCAAAGACCCTTTTTCTCAGTATTTGTATAAATAAATTATATGTTAAATTTTTTATTATTATTATTTTTTAAAATTGTAATTAATGCTTTGCTAATAAAAATAATAATAATAAAAATAAAAACTAATAAAAAAAAAATTATTTTTAAAAAGTTAGTGAATAAGAAATAAAAAAAAATTATTTTTAAAAAGTTAGTGAGTAAGAAATAAAAATAAAACTTATTGCAAAAATAAAAACTATTTAATACTTTAACAACAATTTTGTTGTGAAAGTTTTTCAAGTACCATTTCTTAACAAATATAGATTTTATTATGCTTTCACTTGTCTTATGAAAAAAAAATTTAATGTATGTTAAAAATAAGTTTAAAAAACATGTTTACAAGGACTTTTAGTAAAAAAGTAATAATGAAAGCAAAGTTTTTGAGAAAAAATAAAACTTTGTTTTGAAAAAAAAAATTATTTTCATTGAAAAAAGTTATTTCTTATTTTTAAACAATATTTAGTAATATTTTTAAATAAAATTGAAATAAATTAAATTTTTTTTGCTTTTATATCTATCTGAATTTATTTTATTTGTAAATAGCATTTATACTGAACAAAATTGTCATTCACACATTTTCTATAACTAACATTTAAATGGTTTTTATAATATTAATTCTTTTATTTTCCAACTAAAATACATTTTAAACATATCATATTAAAAAGTTGCTGATTAAAACTGCTTTAGACGTATGTAAAATCGCTTGATGCATACATAAATTGCAAGCTATGTAACGCTTTAAAGCAAGGCCTGATTATTGTCAACTAGATGAATATATTTTTTCTGCATCTATAAGAATACACAGCCTATTCTAACACATGCAATTAATAGAAATAATCATTAAATAGAATTAATAGAAATGATAATCATTAAATGTATTAAAAAATAAAAGAACTGAAGAAAAAATTCAATATATCATAAAATAGATAATACAAATTATAAATAATAATACAAATACCCTATTGATCTTCAAATAAAAATTTTTTTATCTTGATGTTTTTATAAATAACCACTTTTCACTTTTCATTATTCTTTTTTTGTATTTCATGTTCTTAAATTTCTTTTCATTTAAAAAAAATCCATTGCAAAAAAAGCATTTGCCATTTCAGAAATTATTGTATATATCTTTATAATTTCAATGTTCAATTTATATAATTCAAATTTATGTAGTGATATTTTCTTTTGTTCAAAATGAACAACTTTTGGGTGTTTTGCTTTTGGGCTGTATAATTCATTCTCATACATTTTCATTGTCATACTAAGCTAGACTGGCAGGGGCTATTCTAGACCGTTTTCCACAGCGTCTACCCTATTTGTGCGCTGCCCAAACTAAAATTTAAGGACTTTTTTTTTTACAGTTTTTTACGTTTTTATGGTGAATATCACGAAAAAACACCAGTTTTCCGCTTAAGTCCACCAAAATGGGGGGTACCACCGTCCAAATTTTTTTCCTAGAATAGGCCCTGACTGGTCAAGAAAGGTGACACAAGACATAATAAGTCAGAGTAAAAATTGAGATCAGATGTGGAGTACAATAACATAAGATGTACTGTAACAACTATTATTAGTTTTTGAAGTATCATAATTTCTTATCGCTACACAATTTGTCTAGATAGTTCTTGAATTGGTCAACCGAGTCAGTTTTTATGATCTCATCTGTCAAGTTATTCTATGGATTAGTTACTCTGTTAAAAATGAAATCAAATCTATACTTACTTTTACAAAAAGATTTACTTAAAGTGTGTTTGTACTGATGTAAGTTGACGTATTTTGTCTGTATCCTGTTTCAGATACACACCAAACTTGCAAGACCAAAGTTAACTTTTCAAAATTTATTCTAATAAATTTTAGAAAAAAGCGAATGAAAATAAAAAGATCAATTTTAGATTATAAGTAATTAAAACTTGTGATGTTAATTAATTTTGATTTGATTGAAAATTACTTTTAAAAGCTTATTAGGCTGTCAAAGATAAAAGCAGTTTGCTTTTATCTTTGACAACCTAATAAATATTTCAAAAAATTTAAAAATATTGCAGTTATTTAAAAATGTGAAGCTTAATTTTGAATAAAATAATTTTAAATATAAACAACACATTAAAATAACACGAGTATCTTGTCAAAGTAAGCAATAAAGTAATAGTAAATAAATTCAAATAATACAAATAAATTTTACCTTGGTCATTCCAGGAAGATCAACTAAAGTTAGATTAACAACATTTGGAGAGTAAATTTTCAAACTGATAGGTTGTTCACATATACCCTAAATAAAACAATTTTTTTAGCAACTCATTTATTCAGCAATCATAAGCAAGTTAAAACATTTAATACTGTATTAGCCCATAAACAATAACCCTTACTTAACAAGAACCTTTATTAAACAAAAACTTTTTATCAAGAAAAATAGAAAATTTAATAATTGTGTATTGTGATTGTTTAAACAAACCTTTTCGAATTTTCAAATTGTGCTTATTGTTATTAATTTTTCAAGTTTAAATAAATTTACTTGATTACTTTACTAACAAAATATATTTAAAAATATTTTATGTAGTTTCTTCTCAATATGAAATTAAATTTTGACAAATTTCAATAATTATATGTTATATATATTATAATGCCATGCTTAATAATATTAAAGACATAGCATGGGCACAAATTAACCACACTTTTTATGGAGTCCTTCCCTACTCAGCTGAATTAATCATTGTTAATAATGGATATGGCTTCATAAGACATTGCATCTAAAACATGTCTTTTTGAGAGATCTGATTTTAATGTCTTAAACCAAACTATTCGTTCCTATCCTCCAAAATTATGTTTGTAGTTCAAATAAGCGCACAAGCAGATCTCGTGAACATATGTTTTCAAAAAAAAAAACAAAGAGATATGTTGATGATATGTTTAAAAAGTTTATTTGTTAAGATTTTCTTTTACTTTTTATCTTTAAAAATCTTTTTGATAATTTCAATCAAATCAACGTTATTTTAAATTTGAACAAAAAATGTTTTTTAATAAAAAATTATTTATTGATACGCTAACTTAAGATTAATTATGTTAACTTAAGATTAATTATGTTAACTTAAGATTAATTATGTTAACTTAAGATTAATTATGTTAACTTAATATTAATTATGTTAACTTAAGATTAATTATGTTAACTTAAGGTTAAAAATGTTTTTGAGTACTAAACTTCTAATGATTAAACATTAGAAACCAGACTCCAAAAAGATTTAATTTTTTGAATTTTCTTATCTTTAGACATATCAACTGACATTTTTAACTGCCATCTGTCAACTTTGAATAATAAAGACAAAATTTGACAAAAACTTTTATTGATATATAAATATATTATACTTTCTAAAAAAAATTATAATTTCAGTATTATTTTATTGTATAAAACACATTTAGAGGGTGAGAGTAGACATTAAAAAAAAAGTTGTTTTAAGGGATTAAATATAAAATATACAGTATTGGACATAACATTTGCAACCAACATCAAACAATGTTAAAAAGTGTTCCTAATTTTACATGTCTTAAAAACGAAACGAACTATACTACCACAGCAAACAGTTCAGGAGTCTGGAGTCATAGCATGCCATGACATGAGCAATCAGCTGACAGTTGACAGCACACAAGCAGAATTTCGTTGACAAGTGCCATTTTGCAGCGGACAAAACAAGTGCAACTTTTTTTGGTTTGTTTCATTATCTTAAGTCTGGTCCGTGTCAACGCCACTGAAGTTTTTAATAATTAAAGGAAGTATCCAGAAGTTTCCAGAAGCATGCAGAAGCTTCCAGAAGTTCCCAGAAAAAGCATCTGGAAGCATTTGGAAGCATCCAGAAGCATCCAAAAGTATCCAGAAACATTTAGAAGCATCCAGACGCATCCAGAAGCTTCCAGAAGCATTGAAAAAAAACATCTAGAATCTTCCAGAACAGGTTCACACAGGTTCATTTTACTATATAAGAGACATGTAAACCGACATGTAATTCAGTCAGTCTATGGAAATCAATCAGTCAGTATTATCAAGACAATTTATCGAAGTGAGTTTTATCAAAGTTTTTTATCGAAGAACATCAATACAGAAAGTGAAATACAACAAGTGTTTCATTACATCAATACAGTCCACATCTAACCAAGACATTGTGTTCCACAGAGCATTATTGTATCATCACAAGGTAAATGTAACACGGTAAGCCTTGAGAAGCGTGATTATTTATTTTTATTATTTTTATGACTTCAATTACAAAAATGGCTCCTGATAGTCTTGGATTGGAACTAAGAAAGAAAATTATTGGCGATTAGGTAAGTGGAATGTCACAAAAAAGTATTTGTGATACCACATGAAAAAATGGACCATATCAAGACTATGTTCCAAATATCGAAGTTGGCAGCAGATAACAAAGGTGGAAGACTGCATTCCACCACTTCTAGAGAGGATTTTATGATTGTCAGATTCGTCAAGAAGGATCCCTGGATATCATATCAGTCGAGATACAAAAACAATTAGAGCTGCCTGTATTGGACCGAACAATCAGACAACGTGCTGTCGAAGCCGGATTGTTTTCTCATTGCCCTGCCAAGAAACCGCTGACTTCACTAAATAACCAGAAGAAAAGACTCCTGTTTGCTACATCTCATATTGACTGGAATGTGCAGAAATGGCAAACTGTCCTGTTCAGTGATGAATCGAAGTTCAACATCATTGGGAGCGATGGCATTTGCCGTGTACGTCGACCGGCCGGAAAACGCCTTGATTTACATTACTGCCATAAGACCAACAAAAAATATTTAAAAAAAGTTGATTTCCTTTTGTCCAGAAGGAAATCAACTTTTTTTTAATACTTTTGAATAATTTAATAATTTTCGTGTACAAATAATGAACTTTGTGATGAATAAAAAATGAAGAACGTTGTCTCTAAACAGTTACATAATTATTTCTCTAAATTGAAAAAATGCAGCACTTTTATATAAAGAAACTAAATTAACATTATTTGGTTGCACTTGTTTTGTCCGATACTGTACATATATATATATATATAATTACTGTTTATGCAAAATGAAGCAATACAGCATTCAATAAGCATGCTAATGATAATAACAATGGTAACAACAATAACAACAATAATAATAACAATAAGAATAAAAAATAAAAATTGTTATAATAGTAATATTCGTTACAATGAATTATAATGATTGATGAAAATTACATTAATAAAGACAACTAAATATTAGTATATTATATAAAATAGAAGAATAAACAACTAAAATAGAAAAATAAACAACATTATATATATGTATATTTTATATTTAATGGCCACTCTAATCAAACTCGTTTCTCTGTGCAGCGGCCTTGTTCGTCAAGGTTCGTGTTTCGGAGTTATAGAGTTGAGAGAGGGTTATAACCACAAATAAGTAGCCTCTTAGTCTGTAGTGGCCTTCTTGGCCTTGAGGAGGTGAATTAAAATTGAAAAAAATTGAAAAAAAAAAAATTTAATTAAATTTAATTCAAAGTACATTTTCTGCAAATAAATTCTTTACTAATTAAGAGATAAATCAGTCCATGCTTTTAATAATGCATGTCTTGTGCAAGAGTAAAATCTCTAGCTGACTCATGATCTTTTAACAAAAACCAAGTATTGACTTACTCGCCTTCAACAAAACTACGATGTTTGCTAATTTATTGTGTTGTTATGAATAGTTTAAAAATCCCCTTTAACAAACTTTTGCATCTATCTCCATACAATACAAAATGATAGCAAACTCATTTTGATAAAAATATTGATTTGAGCCCTATTAACAAATAGCTATTCATTTTTCTAATGGGGTAAGGGAGGTGGAGTTAATTATTTGTTACTGTAAGATTCCCTTTAAAAATTAATACTATGCATCAGCTTTTAAAACATTTTTTGAAGTTAAATGGACTAGAGAACTAACATAAAAACAAAAACATCTAATTTGTTATTTTATTTGATATCCAATCATGCCAGTTAAATCCATGACTTTTTAAAAAAAAATCAATTATTTTAACTTTAATTTTGATAGGACCTTAAGAAACCCTAGGACAAAATAATTATATAGTGCAAATCTCAGGATGTAGAATTTACAAGAAACCAGAATATGTTTTTAAGTTATACAAAATATAAATTATCTATAGTATTTACCTTGTTACTACCAGCTAACCTTTCAGTTTCATTTAATATCTCTTGACGAATAGCATCAAAGGAGTAATACTTCTATAATTTTAGAGAAAATGTGTTATTGATAAATAACAGTTGAAAACTTTTCATTTAAAAATTACATTTAAAAAAATCTGGAACTATTATCCATAAACTATTATATATCATCTTTTAATTAAATACCATACAAAATTAAAAACCATAATATAAATATTAATTATACATCTCCTATAATAACTCTGAAACCTTGTTTGTCAAGATTTCATAATTAAAGAATTGAGTGAGCGTTGTAATTAGAATAATGTAACTTCCTCTACTGTAGTTGCCCTCTTTGATTTGGGGAGGTGAATAAAATTTTAAAAAAATAAAAGAAAAAATTATACGCAAATGAGACAGCCAACACCAAAATATGGCTTAACCATATTTATAAAGTAAATCTGCATTTTTTCATTTATATACTTTAATACTTAGTATTTTATTAATATAGTTTAATATTTAGTAAAATTAGTCCTGTTGTTTTAGCTAGATCTAACAAGCGTTTCGACATTGATTCTACTAGAACTTGATTTGATTATTGTCAATGTTAGACTATGATTTAACAACAGCTTTCTTCAAATCTTCTTTTTTTTTAAATGGTTTATTACCAATTTTTTTTTTCTAATAAAGTCCATAAATGCTCTATTGGGTTCAAATCTGGGTTTGCAAAGGCCATTCTAAAACGTTTATGCCATTTTCATCAAAAAAGGTTTTAGTTTTTTTAGCAGTATGTTTTGGTTCATTGTCTTATTGAAACAAAAAACAGTTTTCCAATTAAAGTCTTTTTAGTAGAAGATTTTAAATTTTGTTTCAATACATTGTTATACAAATCAGCATTCATAGTTTCATCAATAAATTTAAGTTTACCAACACCATTTCATGCTATACAACCCCATAACATTACACTTCCGGCACCATGTTTATTCCGGCACCATTGTTCTTCTTGTGCAACTCAAATTAAATGCTTCACCCCTCATTCGCCAAATTCTCTGTCAGATTTTTTTTAATCAATTTTGGATTCATCAGACCAAAGTACTTTTTTCCAAAATGATGATGGCATTAAATAATATTTTTTTGCAAAATTCATTTTTCTCTTCATATGATTTTTTGTTAAAAAACAGTTTTTTCCTAGATATACATCCACTAAACCCTGCTCTATGAAGGTGATTTCTAATTGATGTTAGTGAAATTGTGTTTCCTGTTAAGTTTTTCAAATGATTTGCTATATTTTTTGCACTTTCAAACTGATTTTTTTTAATCATTCTTATAATTTTTTAATCATTCTTATTCTTCAACTTTTCTATAAGTATTTCCTTGTTTAACCAAGTCTATAACAAGTTTTCATTGAGTAGTATTTAAATATTTACCTTTGGGTGCCATAATGTTCGATGAACAGAGTTTTTAATGACTTTTTTTTATCAAAAGTGTCATTAATTGCTAAAAATAATATGCTAGAAATATAAATTCAATAATAAAAATGATACTTTATAAATTAAAAAAACCATAAACATTCATAACAACTAATAAAACAGTTTTGTACAATTAATTTTTGTGTACACAAATTAATACCTGTGAAGTGAAAAATCAAAAATTGTATAACAAACACATTTTCTTGTATTTTTCTGATTAATTATAAATAAGAAATATCCATAATAAAAAAATTGGTTCAGTTATTTTCATATAATCAAGATAAAAGCAAGTTTTAGCAAAGTAAAATGCAAAAATTACTTTGCGCGATTAAATTCTGTACTCATTGTACATACATACATACATACATACATACATACATACATACATACATACATACATACATACATACATACATACATACATACATACATACATACATACATACATACATACATACATACATACATACGTGCATACATACATACATACATACATACATACATACATACATACATACATACATACATACATACATACATACAGACAGACAGACAGACAGACAGACAGACAGACAGACAGACAGACAGACAGACATTACAGGGTTATGTGAAAATATAAATTATTTTATGCGGAAATATAAATTATTTTATGTAGAAATATAAATTTGATTATGCCAATAAAAAATTAAACTATGAAATATGGAAATATAAACTAAAAAATGTAAAAATATAATTTTAATATATCAATTTTAAATTTGATTTTTATTGACAATGGATTTGTATACCTTAATAATGGAAGAAAAAAAATACTTTAACACCTGATTTATTGAAAATGATACGTGACTTTCTTGATTTTTGAAACTTTGGGATTGTAATATAACTGTGTTTTAAAAACGCAAACAAAATCCTCATCAATATCCCAGATTCTGAACTTTTTAATAGAAAAGGAAGAAAGTGTTGTGACAAACCTGCTATAAGAAACACAATCAACACTGTGATCAACAGGGATAACTTACTAGCACAAGCTGGAATCTATGATAATCGGGCTGAATCAGGGTTTCATGTCTCAGACATTTGTTTCTAGGCAACTTAAAATAATGAAAATAACAAGAAAGAGTTAATCACTGGTTGCACAAGAAAGGAACAATATTTTGATTTTGACAGAGTTATGCAAGAGAGATATAACACATATTAACATCAAAGTTTTTTTGGTTGAAACGGGTTCAACCACTGCACTTCACCTAGCTAGGGATATGCTCCAATAAACATAAAAGCATATATAACGTTTTCAGCTAACAAAGACAAAATATAAGCTTGATGGCCATTTTAATTACTGGGATAATTGGATACAAGTTAACAGATGGTGCTTAAATGGTGATTGTTTCATTGATTTTATAAATAGAACACTATTTTAGCATTCGAATAACGGATAATTGTCAGTTTTATCATTGATCTGATGTTTTGAAAATACTAAACGAGAACAACATATTGTATAAATTGAAGATTTTTTCAGCGTATTAAAAAATATATAAAAAAAGAAATAAATAACAGTTTAATTTTAGAGTTTAAAGTTTAAAAAAAACAGCCGGCAATGAAATTTTATTAATTATTCTGATAGTACTTCTTGCCTATTATTTAATGTGTTGGCAAAGGAATAAGTTTATTTAATAAGTAAATTATTTAATTAGCTGATATTGTTCATTAGCTGATATTTTTTTCTATTTTACTTATTTCAGGTTTTTAATTTATTTAAGGGTTATGCGAAAATATAAACTAAAATAAGAAAATCAAAATAAGAAAATATAAATAAGAAAATATAAATAAGAAAGTATAAAATTAAAAAAAAAACGTAATTTATTAAATAAACTCAATCCTTGAATTTAAAATCGCTGCTATCAAGCTTATATTTTAATTTTTTTTTTAAACTTTTATAATTTTATTTATATTTTCTTATTTTAATTTATATTTCTGTATAAAATAATTTATTTTTCTGCATAAAATAATTTATTTTTCTGCATAAAATAATTTATATTTCCACATAAGAGAATTTATATTTTCGAATAAAATAATTTATATTTCCGCATAATCCTGTATAATGACAACATTTTTATAATCTGGCTGAAATATCTTGATATCAATAACCTTAAAAACTTGTTAATTAAAATAGACATGAAAATTAGTTTTACAACAGAATTTATGAACCACTACAGTCCAGTATTTGAACAACAAATTCATAAAAGATGATAATTAGTATAAAGAAATTGTTCCTTTAATTAAAACTTTGCATAAAAAGTCAAAAAATCTTTTATAACTGAAATCCAACTTAACAGTTGTAAATTTATTTATTTTTAAACTGTAAACAGTTTTGAAAAAAATTCAATAAACAATTAATCTTCAAATAAAAGAAAAAAAGAAATTTCTACTAATATCCAACTAACCACATTCAAACAACCAACCAATTGGCTAAGAACACTTACTACTGCTAAAAGTCCTATTAACTGAATCTCGTTTTCCCTCCTGCTAGAATTAGCATCTGTAGTACAAATTTTAAAAAATTATTAAGATCTCAATATTCCTCAACTAATCCTCAGTCTGTCTCAAATACTACTGTTATTCTTTATAATTTTTATTAATATACAAAGCCTTTAAGTCCTTAATAAACAAACTTCTAATATCTCATCTTGAGTTTAAAAACTCTCTATATGGATTTCAATCCTCTCATTTTACTGATGACCATTATAACAGTTTTATAGTGCATCAGCTGGAAGCTGGGCTATCCTTTCTAATAATAGTATTAAATTTACCACTGATGGACAACATTCTCTATTTTAATCTTATCTTTAAGGCTCCATTTGCTCCATCATCAGGGTTGCTTTCTATCTTTAATATAAATACTACCACATAGATCATTCAGACCTTATTTTGAAAATCCGGAAAATTGTTTTAAAAAAAATTGAGTAAAATATCAGGAATATATTGTTCTCCTAATTTAGCTTTTAGCTGAATTATTTCTAACTTTTTTTAAAACTTTTCTTAGTTTTGTACAAGTGATGAGTGAAAAAGCTTAAAAAACAAATATATTATTAAAAAATACAGAAATATATATCTACACTTGTAAGTATGGAAAACGTTTTGGATATCCAGAAAAACTAAAAGTTAAGAAAAATATCAGGAATTTCGGAAATATCCAGAAAAAGATAATCCCTGTACCATGATCTTAATTTAAGAGAAAATCGCTTGTTCCATAAACAAAAAATTGATCTCAACACTCAGCAGTCACTTAACAAGACTCACTTTTACTGAAACTGTTCCTTCATGTTCAAAAAAATTTTATAGACCTAGTTATTTCAGTGTGACATCTGTGCTTTGGAATTCTCTTCCACCTTCATGTTTTCCTGGTACATACAACTGCAGTTCCAGTTTTTTAAGTCTTCTGTCGCATTCTTGCTTTTGAACTCACTTCTTTGATTTCTGTTAACTCCTGACTTAGTTGTAGCTTGGAGCGATGTTAAGAGTGAACTTGTTAAAATAAAAAAAAGGAAAAAAATAACATTTAACTATAATGAAAATGCAAAATTTTAAATTTTTTTACTGTTAAAAAAATTTACACCTCTACCTTCAAGCAGTAAAAACAATTCCAATATTTAATGATATTGTGTGGAAAAGTAGTATTACTTACAAAAGTAAGAATGTAAAATACTTTTTAAAATGCTTATCATGCAAAAAGACTACAAACAACAACAACAAAAAAAAAAATTCTGAGACCACACAAAATGGTTTCAATAAAAAACTAGCTTTGCCTGTTTAAAAAACATTTTTTCTAACTATGATAAATAAATAGCCCTCTAATTTTTATATTTTTGATAAATAAAAATAAATAAAAGGTGCTGTGAAAAACCTAACAACTTGGTCACTTGTGTTTAACAGGGAAGTTCGCGCCTACTTACCAATGCCACATATTTGGCTGAAGCTTTTTCTTTTCTTTTTTGAATATCTTCACTTCCAACAAGGCTGCAAGCGACTACTATTAGAATTAACTGGAAGGGAAAAGATGATGTTTATAGAGCAAGATAACAATTGACAGGCGACTTGAAAGATTGAAAATTATATAAATCAGGAAAAAAAGGTGAAGGGAGCGAATTTCAAAGATCTGATGTTCGAGGAAAAAAATCTGAGAAATACAAATTTTTCGAGCACTCAATAAGTCACAGTAAAAGGATAAGACTCAATTGAATGATGAGTAACAAAATAATTAATTTGAGTAGATGGCACAAGTGACACTAGCTCTTTAGAGCAATATTACTTGTGACACTGCCCTAAAGAGTTTTTATACACTGCTCTTTAGTTTTTATAGAAAAGAAAGAGAAGCAACATTACTACGATGTGATAATGGTTGGAGGTTGGCTGCAATTGCAGGTCCAACTATGTTTACGATGCATTTTTTCACCTTGACTAAAAGCAATAGGGCTACAATTGCAGCAATCAGCTGGCATCTAATGCTAAAATATACCCATTTAAGTTTATTTAATGATGGTTTATTTAGTTAACAAATGAAGAGTTTATTTTCAAAACGCAGTAAACGCCATTTTAAAATTTTTTTAGAAATTGTGTGGTTTATTTTTAATTTATAAGGACCTATCAGACATTGTGTCCAAATATATGCTAAACGAAGTATAACCCAATATTTTTCTATTTCTAAAAAACATTTATTTTCAACACGCGGTATAAAATTTTTTATTTGTTTTCAAAATGCAGTATTTAATTTTGACCATTCCGTGGCAAATGTATATTACTTCTGCGCAAGCGCAAATATTTTAAAGAAATGGCGGATTGCGATGGACAAGATTAATGTGTTACCTAATATTCTATTTCACATAGAAAAAAAGATATAATGTATGAAACAAAAGAAAAGAAAAGCATTTCTTAATTCTAGTGTTCGTTTAAACTACCATGCTTTGTTTGTTTAACTGAACTAATTATGGAATAATGATAGAAAATATATTAAAAAGGCAACTTAAATTAATAAGTTTAAATATATTTGTTACCTGTTTTTTAATGGAAAGCATTCAATAATAATACTTCCTTTTTATTTTTTGTTAAACCGACAATTGCTTTGTTGCAAATAAAATGAGGCTATTGCAGTCTTTCATTTTTAAAATTTTATTTCGTTCAAAAATATAACGATGACTTTTATGTTATATTAATTGTCCATTAATTCTATGGAGATTTAAAATAGTGATCATCATTGTTACAACTACACAACACTAAAAAAATATTATTGTTTATTGTCCATATTTAACTCTCCGAAACAAATTTAAATTTACAATTGCGAATTGTGAAATGTAATAGTTTACATTACTTTAATAGAACATTGTTTTCATTCACATTATCAATAAAATATAATGACCAAACATTAAATATACATATTTGTTCAATATGTTAAATAAAATTAATTATTAAAACTTATTCAGGTCTTTTAAAGTTTATAAACTTTCCATAAGATCTTTATAAAATGGATATACCGCATTTTGCTAACAAGCTTTAATTGGATATACAGTATTTTGAAAATAAATGCAAACTTATTAACAAAAAAAATAAATTTTTTTATTTATTAATATTTTATTTATTAACATAATATAATATACTTTATGTATATCTACATTAAGAAACAATAATTTTTCCAAATATACGAAACATGTTGGTGTAATGAAAAAAGTCAATAATCTCAATACCATAAAAACGGATATACCGCATTTTGAAAATACACTTTTCAAATATTTAATTAAGATTCAATTTTATTCAATATACAAGAATGTATAAGATATAAGCTAAAGTTCATATGTGAAATAACGATATATAATTATAGAAGATGTATGGATTAAATATCCATGTGTTGGATAAATAAATAAAACCTTTTCTTTCTTATGTAGAAACTTTCCCCATTCCTCTGACTCGTGATCTTCATCTGCAGATAAAATAGATTGTGAAACGTCATCTTCATGAACATTTATTTCCGAAATTTCATCTTCTGATTCAACTGTGTGCATGTTAAAAAAAAATTAATTAAAATGCCATAACCAATAACATTATATATATATATATATATATATATATATATATATATATATATATATATATATATATATATATATATATATATATATATATATATATATATATATATATATATATATATATATATATATATATATATATATATATATATATATATATATATATATATATATATATATATATATATATATATATATATATATATATATATATATATATATATATATATATATATATATATATATATATATATATATATATATATATATATATATATATATATATATATATATATATATATATATATATATATATATATATATATATATATATATATATATATATATATATATATATATATATATATATATATAACTTTTTTCACCAGTACGGTGCTCAATTTAATTTTTTAAAAAATTTTTTAAATTGTAGTTTCTTTCTTTATTATTTACAATATTTCATCGCAGATATTGATTTTTTAATAAAATAGTTTCAATTTAATATTATATGTTTTTATAGATTGACTTCAATTTTCACGCTGTAACTGACAACGCTTCTTATTTATTTTTTTGTTTACTATTTGACAACGGCTGTTTTGATGTTTTAACAATTTAAATGCAATAAAAAACACATGATTTAATTGCTTTATTTATTTATTTATTTTTTGTTTCTATTTTTACAAAGAATTGTTTAAAAGTTTGTTTTTTTTAACTTGGCTTACTAGTTAAATCATAAAAATTGCGATTTTAAAAAGTTACTTTTTAAAACAATTTTTTTTTTTTACAACTTTTCGAAAGAAATATTTATACAACAAAAAAAAAATTTTTCTTTACAATAATTTAATTTCACTTTTCATTTATTTAAATAAAACTTGTTAATTTATTAATCAAGCTATAGATGTAATTTGTAAAAGGTTTTTGTGTAACTTTAATTTAAACGTTTAAAATTTAGCTTTTAAAGGTATTTTCTTTTAGAAGCAATTCAAAAAGGTAACAAAAAGTAATTTAACTTTGAGTTTTTTTTGTTTTGTTTTAAAGTTAATTTCCTTTTTCGTAAGAAATTGTTTTGCTTATTCTTTTAGTTTTTTCTTTTTTTTTCTGTTTAAGTTTAGCTTAATGCTTTGTTTTTCAGTGCATTTCTAAAATATTTAAATCATCAAAACATCTAAACAGTCATGGTCCAAATCATGTAACCAAAAAAAATCATTTGCGGTCAGCAATAGAGTTTGATTGCACGCCATTTCTGTCATTTCATTTTTATTTTGTAGAATTTAATTCCCGTCGGTCAAAATGTCAGATTACTTTGTAAATTTACCAAACAATCTGAGATTTTATATATAGTTTATCAATTAAAATTAAAAACTTTAGTTTATAAATAAAGTTGTACTATAAGTACACAGGCCTCAGCGGGAATAAATGAGCACAAGATCAGAGAAAAGCTCTCCTAAAACGAACTTGGGGAGCTGTGCGAGCTGCTCCTCATTTAAATTGAGGCTCTTTTTAGTTTTAATTTTATTTTTGCAACAACTGTGTCTTTTAAAAAGCATTGCAGTATATTATGCAATTAATTTTTTTTAAATGACATTGTGTCTTTTATTTTAATTACTACGATAATTATATATTTGAAAGAAAAATTATACTTTTACAAGAGCCATAAATTGCTCCCATAAATCATTTTAGGGGAGTGTGGGCAAGATCGAAAGCCAAAACTCTTGCTTTCCGCCAAGGCCTGAGTACATATATAGTTTATTAAGATATATTTAAAATATTATTTAAAATATTTTTATAGTTTATATATTTATATAGTCTAAAATATTATTATTTGTACAGTTTATATATTTATATAGTCTAAAATATTATTATTTATAAAGTTAATATTATTATACAGTTTATATAGTTATATCTAAGATAATTGAAATAATAAAAATAATTTATGCAAAAACTAGTAGATTATGCACTCTATTAGCAAACAAATATTTAACAAAACCATTACCATTAGGTTGAAAATTATAAGAATGATTTTCTTCTAGCTTTTTTGTTGTTTTAGGAACATGGATCAATTGTAAGATTAATGGACGCCTAGTTACAATTCCTGATCCTAAAAAAAAATATTAAGTTGTAAATAAATTCTAAATAAAGTGATAAACATTGTTTATTTTTGATGTCCAAAACAAATATTTATTCAAATTTTATTTTATTCTTTTTTTAAATTAAAATAAGAATTAAAAAAAATAAAAATTTTAATAAAATAATATAAATTATTTATATTATTTTATTAAAACAATATTTTAAAACTTTATGATTATAGAAATGCATTTAATTTTACCTCTTGGTAGGAAATCTTTTCCAACAATGTTTTCTAAAACAGAACTTTTACCACTACTCTAAAGTAAAAATAAATGCATCATCATTGCTGTTATCATGATCATTATCATCATCATTATTATTATCATCATTATTATTATCACTAAAAGGTTAGGTTTTTATATATTTACCATCAAAAATAATGAATGTACCTGGGTTCCTACAACAACAATTTGTGGTAGTTGAATAGCTTCAGATCCAACAGTATTAAATACATCTTGCAGTTTGTTTATAACAGGAATTAACTGATCCATTTATTTTGATTTTATTGAACACAATGTACTCATACCATTTGCTTGGCATTTGTTAGTTCCTTTTAAAAAATAATTTGAGTCTATATATATATACATATATACAACCCTCGGAATTAAGAAAAATGAGGTTGGCAATAATTTGCCGACCTCAATCTTTTGAGGTTGCAAAAACTATTTGATACAAAGGTCTGACCATAAAACTTAGAAACGAGGTCGGCAATTTTTTGCTGACCTCAAGCACTTTTAGGTCAGCCGACCCTAATTCTGAGGGTTGATATATATATATATATATATATATATATATATATATATATATATATATATATATATATATATATATATATATATATATATATATATATATCAAGCCTTCTTAGGAGATGTGGTTATGACCACGCATATAATATTTTATTTTGATAGTTTGGTCATGGTTTGCATGATTGTTAGAGTGTTAAAAAAATGGGAGGAACAAACAAATGTAAATTTAAAATAAAATTAAAAATCAAAATAATATAAACTGGAAAGAGAAATAAAAAAATAAAAACTCAACTAAAAATATAATAAACTTAACAAATGATAAAATTAATAAAAAATAAACCAGAAAAAATAAAAGCTAAATTGTAAAAAAAAAACTGTATGCATGGTCAAAAAAGGCAACTGACCCAACACATCTCCTTAGAAGATTTGATATATATACATATATGATCATTATATATGTTATATATCAATTCTTCTCACGAGACCGATGGGTCAGTTGTCTTTTTTGACCATGCATACAGTTTGTTTTTTTACATTTTGGCCATGGTTTTTTGCATATATTGATAATTTCAATATTAATGTATTTCTGAAATTATATATATATTTTATAAAAATAATTTCAATATGAAAAAAAAACACTATACTTGTGTCGCCATTAATTAAACCATTGATGTTAAACTTGAATATATATACATTTTGGTCAGATATTTATTATATTATTTTTGCCCATGTTTACATGTATACTTAATATTTTATTTATACAAATCAATGTTCTTTGTAATTTTATATTCTATGAATTCCATGTTTTTAATGGTATCTGTACTTACACTTCTTTACAATTTAATTAGCTAAACCTAATTTCAAACAACAAAAAATTCTGAAGGGAAGACACACAATATTCTGAAGTGAAGATAAATGATAGAGTTTGAAGCGAAGCCACAAATATGATTAAATATACATTCAATAAAGTTACAGTGCAGAGGATGTCAATGCAAGATGGAAGTCAATCTAAGCATGCTGAGCCACAGATTTACAAAATTGAAGAAATTCCAGCAAAACAAGCCTGGGTGAATATTTCTTCTACATCCTCATTATTACTCTGACAATGTATTGATGAAATTGTTCTACGCCTGCTGGTGGCACATGAACAACAATAAACAGCAGGCATTGAAACACAGCGCTATCATTATCTGGCAAACCAGAAATAAATAGACACACTGATCCACGCCTCAATGATCATTGTAGTTCACTCTTGACATATAATGCAGCTCGCCTAATATTTCTAAAGTACAATTCAAAACTGATCCAAGACATCGTAGAAAAATAACTGAAACTGAAGTTACTTTACTTCATTTTTCAAATTGAAAGTTTTAATTGTTTATCAATTATTTTGTTATATCATGATATGTTATGTGAAATTGTGTTCTTCTATTTTAATAACAACAATGAAGTTTAACAGAAAACAGATGTAACTTGGTATTGAGAATGATCAACATTGTTGACCATTCTCAATATCAATTAGGGATGTACAGGATTTTGGTTCCTGTAATTTTGTTTTGAAATACATCTTTGACTGGATTTGTCAGTAGAAATCCAGCAAATCTGGCTCCAGCCAGATTTGGTAAAATTAAATCTGGCATAGCCCTAATATATATATATATATATATATCTATATATATATATATATATATATATATATATATATATATATATATATATATATATATATATATATATATATATATATATATATATATATATATATATATATATATATATATATATATATATATATATATATATATATATATATATATATATATATATATGTATATATATATATATATATATATATATACAAAATTATTTGCTCTTTTGTAGGATTATCCGAATTATGCATTTAAACTCAATAGTTTATTTCCTTATGAACTATTGTTATTGATGATGCTTTAAAAGCTTGTGGGCTAGTGCATTGTGAATTTACTGAACTTTTTAACGAAATATTTAGGAGCCTATTTAAAAGGTTTTTTTAAGTTTTTAAAAACATTTTCAAACAGAGCAATCGTTATATCCATTATCCCTAGTGATTCATATTAACATTGGAAATTGGGCAATATATAAGAAACAATATCAGACAAGCATCAAATGTGGCAAATACATTTATAAAAGGAACCATGTTATTTCTTTATTTAATTTTTCCATCATTACAAAATTTATTAATCAAATAATTTAACATATAAATAACAATTTATTTTCTTATTTTCCTATTATTTAAGTATACAAATAAAAAATTAAATATAGCAAAAACATTTTTAAATCAAAATGACGTCAAAACGAATAAACATAAGAAAAAAATCAACATTTCTCATAGTTCCAGCGTACATGGCAAATTAGTTTCTCAATTATACACTAATAAAAATCGTGAATAAATTCCATATCAAAACTTTCAATTGTTGTTAAATTTTTATAAAAGAAAATATGTTGTTTTTTTCATCAACTTGTATAAAATTCAGTAGCTAAAAACTATAAAAAAAAAAAAAGAATATAAAAATTGTATAAAAAAAAATTCTTTAAATTTTCTTGTTTTAATTTTTAAATTTTCTAATTTATTTAGTTAAAACCTAACATTTTGTTATAATTTTATTTCCTTATTATAGAGTTGCTTTTTTTTTTTCTATTTTGTAAAAAAAAAAATTCTTTGAATTTTCTTGTTTTAATTATTAAATTTTAAGTTTATTTAGTTAAAACCTTACATTTTGTTATTTAAATTTTACGTTTTTTAAGTTAAAAAATGAGAACTGCCGTGAACAGTGTGTCTAAAAAAATTATTTTAAATGTGGACAAACAAAGCATGCGACCGCACACGCCTCCCGGGAAAGCTTGATATATATATATATACAGTGCTCGAAGTGGAGGAAAAAAAGTAACAGGACGGTATTCAGCAAATTAAAAATACCATCCCGCCTAATCATTGATATATATATATAGATTTATAAAAAGGTGGCGTGGTGGTTTATACTTTATAAAAAGGTGACGGGATGGCAGATATGTATGTATACATCCCGTATATATATATATATATATACGGGATGTATATATATATATATATATATATATATATATATATATATATATATATATATATATATATATATATATATATATATATATATATATATATATATTAGTTATTTTATATTCTTGTATAATTCACATAAAATGTGTAAAAGTTAGTTGTCACAAAAGCTTTTGAACTTAGGGATCGTCCATAAAGTATGTACGCTCGGAAAGGAAGAAGAGGTCTACAAATAACGTTTCTGAGATAAGGAGGCATTAGGTCAATTATAAAAGTATGGAGACATTAAAATTAAAAAAATATCATATAATGTTGGGTTAGTAGGTTAAAAACGTAGGTACTTTTAGGGAGGTAAAGAGTACTCAAAAAAGCGTACGGCAAATTGGGGGGGGGGAGTAGCAAAAAAAAAGCATATGTACTTTATGGACCCCTTATTCACAAATTAAAGAAACTTAAAAGATATTTATAACGTAGCACTTTTTTTATTGCATTCAAATTGTTAAAACATCAAAACAGACAAGGTCAAGTTGTAAAGAAATAAAAATATTAGCGTGATCAGTTACAGAGTGCGATCACACGCCATTCCTATCCAAGCCATATATATATATATATATATATATATATATATATATATATATATATATATATATATATATATATATATATATATATATATATATATATATATATATATATATATATATATATATATATATATATATATATTTATATATATAAATGAATTAAATGAATTTAAATGTATTCTACAGAATAGAGTGCTTAATGTTCTTAAAAGAACAGAACAATATTATTGAAAATGCATCTAAAATTGTTGCTTATTTGCAAACTAAGTTTATTAAATTGAATTTTAACTTTAAATGAAAAATGATATTTTCAAAATCAGCATAAAGTTCTCTGTCTTTTGAGCCCCAGGTTGGTATAGTTCTGAAAAAAAATAATTCAATTTTTGACCCATCAAAATTATGGAGGTTGAGAGGTAACTCAAGAAATCATCTAAATCAAAAAATATTTTTTGCACTTTCTTTTTATAATAAATAGAATCCCATTAGCATCTCAGGAATGTTTACTTCTTTTTTTTTTTTTTTATTGCTATAAAAATTGCTCCACCCTGTTAAACATGTCTCAGCATATAAATACAAACTAAATTTGTAAGAGAGTAATAAAGCTTTTAAAATGAGAATGTCTTAAATTGTTTCACGATTATTTAATAACAAATGGATTGTGAAAAGGGTTATTGTAAAACAAAATGTACAATGTCTTATAAGCAGAAAAAATGATGTTTGGAACTAAATTTCAAAAATTGCAAACAAAGTGATGGTTTAAGGAATTTTTTCTGCAAAGAATATAATATATTTTAGCATATATCAATAAATTTAATAGATTCTTAATAGACATATATTAGAATTATATAGACTATATGGATTTAACAGATATCATATATACATTTTAATAGATATATATAATATATCTGTTAATCTTCACAAATGAAACAAACGTTCATTGTTTAAGATCAACAGAAACATTTGCACTTTCATTTAGGACATTTTATAAAAGATTTTGATATCATATGCAAAAGAAACAATTCTGCAGAATCAAGTATTTAAGCAGAATTATCACCAAAAAACATATCCAAATTATTAAAATAGTAATTTTAAAACTCTCACATAATAAAACTTTCACATTTGAATCAAGTATGAGGGTTTTAAGATGACTATTTCAATCACTGGACTTCCATAGAAAATTTATGAGAAACACTGTACTGTTTTGCTTGAAAGCATATATATTTAAACAAAGTAACATTATTCAAACTACTGAAAGAAAAATGAGATAAAATTTTACCTTCTTATATTAATTTATTGAGTCAATGCTAAATTATTGTGCAGCTTTTATCACTGCTAAGTGTATGGCTACAAAATAACCAAATAACTTTTTTTTACAAGTTCACTACCAAATAAGGTAGCTACTATTAATAACTACTACAACTCTTTTACTTGCTGAATATGTTCCACACAAAAAAGTAATAAATCCACACAAAAAAGTAATAAATTATTTTTATTGATACCAGTTTTTTTGGCCTTAAAACTGCACAAACATTATCAGAGGAAATCAGTATATATATTTTTAAAAATCTATCAGAATACAAGTTATTGTTTTTTTAAATTAACTTTTGAAATACAGTATTATTTTAGAATCAGAACATAATTACTAGTTATTATTACTACTAATAATAACTATTATTATTATTGTTATTGTTATTATTGCTATTATTATTGTTGTTTTTATTATTATATATTAAAAAAATAAAATCATTCTTCTTATTTTCAATACATGGGACTAACTACAAACTATCATTTAAAAATATATATTATTTAAGGAACTGTTTAATTAATTAAAAAAAAAAATGTTATGAGATTTTAATGCTATATAATATGTATACCCAAATAATTGTACACAGTGGAACCTTTTCTATTTGATCTGGTGTTTGATTTTGATTTTTCAATCAAGGAAAATTATACTATCAGTTTAAAGTGAAAAAATATAAAAAAAAAATATCTGCCTTATAAAATGAGGACTACTTTTAAATTCAATAAAGTAATTATTTCATAAATTATCTATGAATACATTAGCCAAGAAATTTGCAAATGAAGAGTTCATAACTATATGTGAAGAAGATAATCATTTAAATCAATTCGAATCAAAATAAACATTAGGGCGAAAATAAAAATAATAAACGTCTACAACTTTTATGTGCTGTTGAAGACAAATTAAAAAAAAGAATAATAAATGAAATAGATGAAAGTCTAAATTTAAAGGTATAATGCATTTACAATTATTATAAATATACATTTTTTAAGTAAACACCGTTGTAGAATAATTCGTAATAAAACTCAGCAGATTTTAAAAATAATTTACACCATTTTTAAAGCTATTTATTTTTAGGACTAAAAAAAGAAGCCACTATTATACTCTTGCATATTTCTACAAATAATTTTAACCAAACTATGCTTTTAATTATTAAGGTATCAAGGAAAAGTGTTTCACAAAGCCGATATATTGAATTAAACCTGATTTAAGTCGATAAATATCGGCTTAAACTAGGAAAACTCGGTGAAACTAAAAATTATAACGGAATCAAGTACGGATTTCATATACAATATCCGTTATATTAAAAAACGGGAATTATAGGAGAGATATTTACACAAGATGTATATAATATATTATAACATAAATCTACATATATGTTATTTAATAATTGAGTGCTTGTTCTTGATATTTCCTTTTTTTTTAACGAAAATAAACAATTTTTTTCCTACTTTAAAAATGTAAAAAAAAATTGCATTAACTATTTTTCAATGCATAAGTAACAGTAACAAATTGATAACATTAACCAATCACAGATATCATTTAATTATTTAAAAAAGACAGCTTTTTCAAGTTCTCTTAAAATACGTTTCCGGTTGTTTTAACTTATAAAGTTATTACAAAAATGACTTAACACCACTAGTAATGTTACTGTTGTGTTAATGATTATGACACTAGAGTCGATTTTACATAAGCCTTTTAACAGAAAATGGTTACCGAAGTCAAACTGACTATATTGTCTCAATCAACTATTATTTATTTTGTAAAATTTGTTAACACATTTTTTTTTTTAAAAAAACTGATTATAAAACAAATTTAAAATCGATAATTTGTTTTCTGAAGAAATAAAAGTTCTGAGAAGAGTAAGTCAATGTCAAGAGTTTTTCTTAACTAGGTCTTAAATTGACAAAACAACGTTTTAACATTGATTTGCTCATCTTAAAATTGTGCAAATCAATAATGATATTAGTAAGAAGTATTTTTTCGAAAAGAATTTTCCATTTATGCAGTTTGCCATCTAGTTTCTAAAAATCACGCACCCGTGGTGTAGTGGTTAGAGTTGTGGCTTCAGAACTGGAGGTTCTCAGTTCAATGCCGGCTCTGGCCATATATGCGTCATTGGTAAGGAAGGTGTAAACTTCCGCGGTGTTCTGTGTTAAGACTGAGGTGTTAAGACCGTAAGGACTTCTTGAAGCACCTTAACTACTATTAAAAAAGTTCAAAAAAAAAAGAAAATTACTTATCCCAAAAAATTTACTTAAGCCGACTAACGTCTGATATGACATCTATATCCCGTTGTCTGATATGACATCTACATCTCGCTCAGATAAAGTATAATTAAACTAAAGCAAACTTTGATTGATATTTTAGATAAAGTTTTACAGTTCAACGAGAGAAAAACTCTTTTTAAAAAAGATAAATAAGAACCATTGCGAGGGGACTGGGTAAAAGCAGATTTAATGATTTAATACCAATCATTCAATTTAATTGGCATAAAAAGTATAAATATTTGAAATACATAAAATTTGTTTTACAAAATCCATTACAAAAAACGTTTTTGAAAAATGAAAAACACACTATATGTATGGTTGTTACACATCTTCTATGGATAAATACAAATTTTCTCTAGATTAGATAAATATAAATTTTCGCTAGAATGATAATAGTAAAAACCAGTAATTCCACTATTTATATAGTTTTTATAATATCTATTCCAAAATGGAGTAAACAAAATTAGAATTAAAAAAAATAACAATAATCAAAAGTTAACGTTTATGTAAATGAAAAAAAAAATTAATACATAATTACAACTAAACTATCTAAATTTTAAAGTTAGTTAAACTACTAACTAATACCTCATTTAAACCGACAATAAAATAAGTTTTAGCTGTAGTTTAAATACGTTTTTTATTATTTCATTTACATCAAATTTAGAATATGTTTTTAATTTATTTTCTTTTTCGTAATCTTAACATGCGCTCTGATACCGTGGCTTTACCTCCTCCGGCTAATTGCCAGAGGTTCGCAAGGATTGGTTGAGCTCCCGAGAGAGCGGCATACCCGCTCTACGGACTGAGAGTAAGGTGATTAATGAAAGGGCCAAGATATGTTGGAGTGAAAGATAGGGGTAGTCGAGTTAGTAAGATATTGGATTGCACATTTATTGCGCGCAATGATTGCACACGATATTGGAGAGTGCAATATATACTGTTAGTTAGGCTTGGCCTAGGAGGAGTACGCCGTCGTAGTAGTGATTAGAGCTAGCCTGCGCTCGTCCTTATCTTTCTGCTTCGTCCTAAAGACATTCGAAAAGTAACCATTCCCAGCCGGCAAATAACGTTGAAATAACGTTGAAATATCGCTGAAACCTAACGTTGAATTAACGTTGATTTAACGTTTAGAATGAAAGTTTTTTTCAACGTTGATTTATCAACGTTAAATCAACGTTGATTCGATGCGAAAAAACGTTACAACGACGTTGAATTTACGTTGATACAACGTTTAAAATGATAGTTTTTTTAACGTTGATTTATCAACGTTAAACGACTGTAAAACACTTTTTCACCATCAAAACGTGTTATGTATGTCAAAATATGTATGTAAACGTGCTATATGCGTCAAAATATGATCACCATCAAAACGTACTATGCATGTACATTAGTGTTGCTGTACATTATCAAGGTATATTATGGATATTAAATCTATTCATAGTCTATACTAAGTCTATTTAGAATTTTTTCAGTTTAGTTTAGTTTAAATAGCTAGGTATGATTAAAGAAAGAGATAAAACTTGTTTTATTCAAAAATAGATATTCAAATATTAAATATATATACATGTAATTGAATAAAATCTACACAAATTTCTTCTCTTTTCCACCACCTTTTTGAAATAAAGCGTAATTTAGAAAGTCAAACAATGTTCCATTAACCGAGGGTTCTTTTAGTCCATTGAATACAATTGAAGAAGCTGTAAATAAAAAAAATATATTAAAAAAATCAAAAAGGAAGATTTAAAAAATAAATAATGAATGGAAAATTGTTACAACTTATGAAGGTATATATTTTTCAACGCCATATAGATTAGTGTTCTTAAAACATATTTTTCCACCTTTGCCCTTCATATCATGGAGGCCATATAACTTTTCGAAAATACTCTGAATTTTAAAAAAATAATATAACTGTTAGTTGGTTATTAATAAATTTTTCAAATATTTAATTTAAATAAAATAACCTTTTTAATATATTAAAAATAAATTAATAGTCAAAATATAAAACATTTCTAGCAATGAAAAATAATTTTCGGGGTGGCCACATAAAATTTTTATAAGATATTTTATGTGGCCATTTATTAATGGTTTAACGTCCATGTTTATACACTTATGGGGCTTGGACAGGGATCAAATAATGTCATTTGTTATGTTAAATAGCATACATTTTCTAAAGCAATTTTTTACAATTGCACTTTAAGGCGTTAACCAGTTTTGCAGACCAAGAATGGGTATTTTGAACATTATACTTCCATCAAAAATTAAAAAAGGAAGAATTAATGAGGAGCTTTGATCAAATTTTTACCTCTTTAGAGGATAATAGAGGATTTTAGAAGTGGTTTTAAAAAAAGGAGGACTTTAGAGGATTTTCGAGGAGCTGCAGACACCCTGATTATAAATGAGGTAATTCCACCAATTAACTGTAATTGATTTATCTGTAAAAAAACATGAAGTAAATCTAATATTATGCTTGTGGAGATATATTATATTGTGGAGAACCATCCAAACCATACAAATGGAAAATTTGCATTCAAGTTTCCACTTGTGTGCAAATCTTGCATCCACTTCTCAACATTCTCATTATCACATTTTTTTTTGTAGTTGTGAATTTAAAATTTTCACAATACTGTTTGCATTCTTTTGAAATTGAAATAGTTATACAAATATTTATATATTTTGTATCAACAAAATAACTCTTCTTACCACATTATTTAAAAAATAATAATTGTAATATATAGATGTAATACCTGAAGAGAATTTAGTTTTTATTTGTATAAACTTAAGCCAATTCTTCTCTGCATTTTAGTGCAGTCAATGCTTTAGTACCTGGAAGCCAACAAACAGTTTTATCACTAATCCAATTAGATGGAATTACTTCTTCTTGTAAATCTTCATTCCAAACAGCTCCATTCCGCATATTCGATTTTGAAAAAATTACATGAACTAATATAAAATGAAGAAACCATAATATAAGTGTACTAACAGGCCTAATTAAACTAGCTAAATTTGAACATTTTATAACCATGATACTTGCTAAACAATAATATTAGTAGACATTATTAGCAAAGATAAGAATATTTTTATTTTATAAACTTATTATATTTTAAACTCATTTTTATTAATTTATTTATTACTCTATTAATCAGCAGAGTTCTGAATATATTATGTTCAAATAACTTAAGGCTCAATAACAAAGACAAATAATGAAAGACTACTAAGTTGCTAAAACATAAACATCTACATAAGATAATTATGGAATATTGAAAAAAAATAGAAATACAAAAAAACAAAAATACTCATTATTAATATAAAATATAATAGTATAATTTAAGGTATATTAAAATATATGACACAATAATATCGACTTTTAATTAAAATATAAAAACAACAAAAATTAAAAAAGAAAATATTTTGATAAATAATAAATTATCATTCAAACAATTTTCAAGATCAAAAAATAACTTGTAACTTATTTTTTTACTTATCTTTATCTAATAAACATTACTTATTTTTCACTCATCTTCATCTGATAAACATTAATATTAATACCAATTTAAAACATTATTCGAATTTTTTTTTATCAAAAAACAAAAATATTACATCAGTTACTTTTTGGGCTTTTCTCATTTTACTTAAAACATCAACTCAATTCTAGACTTTTTTTATAATTGAGTTTTAATTTGTAATGTTGAATTAACACTGGAAAAAAAAAAATTAGCAGACAAAAAGAAAATATTTCTTTATTGGAATATATGTAAATATTTCAATAAAGAAATTTTAGATTGATTTTAATAAATATAAATTTATATCAATCAATCTAAATTTTTTTCTTTTCCGCCACCTTTTCGAAATGAAGCACATTTTTAGAAGTTAGACAAAATGCCATCAATTAAAGTTTCAGTCGCTCCATCGTATTTAATAGAAGAAGCTGTTAATAAAAAAGAATTAGAAAAAAAAAAAAAAAAAAAAACACAAGGAGAAATTTTTGAATATATAAAAAATGAGAATAAAAAAGTTTTACATATCTTATAAAGGTATACCTTTCACTACACCATATAAATTAGTGCTCTTAAAGCATATTTCCACCTTTCCCCTTCATATTCATGGAGGTCACAAAATTGTTGGAAAATACTCTAAATTTTAATAGATAAGAGAACTGATATTAGTTATGCAAGAACTAATATTAATTTTTTTTTTTTAATTTAAATTGAACTCATTATCAAACAATTTTTTTGCTAAATAATTTAATCCTTAAAATTCCTGAATAATTAAAAATCATTTTAATTACCTCAGCATTTTAAAGATATTCCATCAATTGCAATTGATTCACCTAAAAAACAACAACAAGTAAAGCAAATATTATTGTTTGAAATTTTAATTATCTTTATACAAATACTCATCATTTTTTTAAAGTGACTGATAAAAATGGATTCAATTAAAATCACTTCATTTGTATTAAAAAATTAATATTAAAGCTTTAATCATACATTATACAAGAGTATTTTGTAATACAATCTAAATAATTGTTGCGATATGTAATTTTTTTATCCAAAATTTAGCTTCTGTAAGCTTTAGAAATTTTTTAAAGAAATTATTGATGAATTTGGAGCTACGGGTACTAATGTTTTTATATTGCTGTAATGTTTGTATTCATTCCCTGTTAGTTTCTGTAAGTCAAAATTTTAAGGTGATTCCATAATAAATTTTGTTATATCTAAAATTTAGTGTTAGTCTGAATAATTTACTTTCCAAAATCTGTTTTGCATTGCCTGTCTTATAACATTTTTACTTGGAACAAAAACCATGTGGTTTAAAAGTGAGCTAGAAGCTTTCAACAATGAAGAAAATATTGCATTCGCAAATCCTAAAAATATATTAAACCTGTCAGCAAAATCAGCTGTCAATAATCCAAGTATTAGCATCATTAAAAAGTCATCTTTGCTGCATTACATTTATTTTGGTCCGAGTAGTTAAGGATTTTGTTTAAATTTCAAAAAACAGAAGTAAATGTTTTTTTTTAATATCACTTTATCTCTTTTGATTAATGGTGATACTGCACTAACTGATGAAACACATTGACACATGTAAGGCCAGTATAAAAGTCGCAAGATCTAATATTTTTAAAATAATTGTTTGTATACAAGTAAATTGCAATAACACGATTTGTTTGGATTATGTTTATATACAAATTTGTCTGTTTTCATAGTAATAACTGATGTGGTTGAAGTTAATTTTTCATATAAATCTTTATTTTTTTATTTCGTGCTGAAGTTCTTTCTTAAAGTTATCAATTTCCTTTTTTAATTCTTGATGCTCTATTAAAAAACAATGCTTAGCATTAAATTCAACATAATTTAATGGATCATTTTTTGAAAAAGTTGTATTATATTTACATTTAATAATATTAGTCTTTGAGCATTGTAGCCCAAGTTAAACGAAAAGTATCGATTTTTAAACGATAATTTTCTTTCAGGAAAATCGTCTGAACATGTTTTCGATCTCTTGAAATATCGATAAGGTATAAGTTCAGTATTTACATTTTTTTTCCATTATAAATCTCTATAACTTAAACCTTCCTCATCCTTTCCAATCCTTTCCTCACCAAATGTATGATTTATTTGAAAGATCAAATTCTAAAAGAAATAGTTATTCTGTGCACTTATCGGAATTTTTAAAAACAAATCAATTAGAACTAGTTGATGTAAATAAAGGTTCTGGCCCTAATTATACATATCGACACCAGACACTACCGAATTCGTCATATATTGATCACTTCGCCGTGTCAAAATATACAAGTTTTATAAATCTTAAATGCATTGTTCATCCTGAATGCTCAAATAATTTGAGCGACCACCTACCACTATCAATATCAGTTGAAGTTAAGTACACCGAATGCAATACCATTGAACTAGCAGAAGATACTAATATACCTAGCTACGCTTGGAACGATTCTAACTTTATAAATTCTTACAATGTTCATTTAACCAATCGCTTTAACAATCTTAATTTTACTAACGATTATAAATACGACCTTCTCCAAATCTATAAAAAAATTACTGACAGCGCTCAAATAGCTTTTAAGGAGACTTTAAAAAATAAAAAGCAATGTTTGTATTCAAAATCTTGGTGGACACCTGAATTAAGTCGGTCTAAAACTATTCTTTCAATTCATTTTAAAAAATGGAGAGATTCTGGTTTTTCTAAAGAGTTAAACTCGGTATCATTTAACCGTTACCAAAAACTTTCGTAAAGCCGTCAAGTCGGCTCAAAATAATAAAATTTGCGCACAATATATTAAAATTGAAAAGTTAAAAAATACTAAACCAAAAAACTTTTGGAATGCTTTTAGATGTTTAAACAAAGACATAAATTCTAGATTATTTACCATAAATAATAAAAAAGACAAAGAATCTATTACTTCAGAATTCGCAAACCACTTCGAAAGAGTACTGAATACTCCAAAAATAACTCATCGTAAAGAAAATCAGAGAATTCCCCCGTGTACAAAACATGATGATGTAAAAATAACTGAAGAAAATATAATTGGGGCTATTTCAAATTTAAAATTAAAAAAATCTCCTGACTCTTTCGGTATCTCAGCAGAACATTTGAAATACGCAAAGTGCGATACTTTAACAAAATGGCTCATCAAATTTTTTAATTACTCTATTAATTATGGATCGACTCCAATATCAATGTCGACGTCAACTATTGTACCCCTTGTTAAATCGTACAAAAAGTCTTTAGATAGCCCAAGCAACTATCGTGGTATTAGTATTATACCAATTTTTACAAAGGTTCTAGAATACCTGATCTTAATTATATGTCCGGATAT